TACGAAACCTATCCAATTGCAGAGAGGTGTAAGACAGGGTGACGTTATATCCCCGAAACTCTTCACCGCTGCATTGGAAGACGTTTTCAAGTTTCTGGACTGGAAAGGATTCGGTATTAACATCAATGGCGAGTACATAACTCACCTTTGATTTGCCGACGATATAGTCCTTATGGCAGAATCGCTGGAGGATCTAAGCACCATGCTCAATGACCTCAATAGTTTCTCCCGACGGATAGGTCTTAAGATGAACATGGACAAAACATAGATCATGTTCAATGTCCATGTCACACCTATGCCAGTAGTTGTTGGGAGCACTAAGCTCGAAGTTGTTGACGAGTATGTTTACCTGGGACAAATAGTTCGACTAGGTAAGTCCAACTTCGACCGAGAGGTCAATAGACGGATTCAACTCGGCTGGGCAGCGTTCGGGAAACTACGACACATCTTCTCGTCAGACATTCCTCAAAACCTTAAAACGAAATTATACAACCAGTGCGTGTTGCCAGTGATGACTTACGGATCTGAGACGTGGTCCTTCACTGCTGGCCGTATGAAGAAGCTCAAGGTCGCTCGGCGAGCTATGGAGAGGGCTATGCTCGGGGTTTCTCTGCGTGATAAACTTAGAAATTAGTATATCCGCAGTAGAACCAGAGTAACCGACATAGCCCAACGGATTAGTAAGCTGAAGTGGCAGTGAGCCGGCCATGTAGCTCGAAGAACCGACAACCCATGGGGAAGAAAGGTTCTTTAGTGGCAGCCTCGTACCGGTAGGCGAAGTGTGGGGCGACCCACCACTAGATGGAGTGACGACCTGGTAAGACATGCAGGAAGTCGATGGATGCAGGTGGCTCAGGACCGTGCTTTGTGGCATTCCTTGGGGAAGGCCTATGTTCAGCAGTGGACTTTTAGGCTTATTAAAGGCTGTAATGATGATACTTTACACATAATGTGGTTTTCAAAGTTGCATATCTAAATGTATCAAGTATTATGCCAAAATACACAACATTTCATGAAGATTACTTTGTAGTAATCATTGTTTGGTATACTTTAACCAGTTCTTTGCAATATTAAATGGAAACGGAAGGGCAAGTAAACGGCCAGATGGGTGATGTTTAACCGTGATCATGAAAGGACTTAGATTTGTATAGGATATTACCATAGGGACCTAAATATTTATTTATTTATTTAGGAAGCCAACATGATATTGTACAATGAAAAAATGTTTGCAAATTTTATTGATTAATCTTAAGTTTAGTACATATCATACTTATAGGCTAACTTAACATGTTAATGTAAAATAATAAGTAATGCACATTATTGTTGAAAAAGAAGAAGAAAAGATAACAAAATAACATATTTTAATGCATGAAACAAAAAAAAAGGTTTTTTTTTCTACAATAACTCATGAGGTGATCTTAATTTTGTTATAAAAATGTTTTTTAATTTTATTTTTAAAAGTGGTATAAATTAACTCATAACTACCAGAATTTTTAGTTATATTATTTTGGCGGCTCCATGACGCAGTGGCTTAGCAATGAGTTGCGGCGCTAAGGGCCACGGGTATGAATCCCACACGGAACAAGTATTTGTATGATACAAGCATAAGTGTTTGCCCTTGAGAAATTTATGTATGTAAACTGCCCCCACGATACAGGAGAAAATCTTAGTGTGAAGGTAACGTCTTTCGAGGATAAGTAAAAAAAATACTATTTACTTGAATTGCATATACAGTGGACCCCCGGTAATCCGACAAACATTTTGCAGGGCGGTGTCGGACTATCGAATTTGTCGAATTATAGACTATTGACTAAGACTATAGTCCGGAATTTTTTATAAAAGAGTACCTTGTAATACGACAAATTTCAGATCCAATGATAAGATTCTATATATATATATATATATATATATATATATATATATATAATGTACGTACTCTGAAGTACAAATTATACTTCATTATGTATGTCAAATTTAGTAAATTAAATAACACAATAGGGAGCTTATATTTTATTATAAAATTAACATCATTAATGCTATAGAACTTACAAAAAATATGCAATAACTTTACATTAGGAAATAATTGTGTACAAACAAATGTACATACTAAAATAACCAAAAATTATGAATCAAGTTATAACTTGTTCAATCATTCATTTGTGAAGATTTTAAAAACAAATGTCTAATAATAAATAATATACCATGTCGGATTACAGGGGGTGCCGGATTAGACAGGGGCCGGATTACCGGGGGTTCACTGTATAAATAAGCCTTCAAGTCTTTTGAAACGCTACATCTTGTACATCTTAAAAATTTTATCTATGACTTAATTTAATCCTTTTAATAACTTAAGTCTTTAGAGTTGAAAACACATCTAAAGCCTTCCTTGTTTAAAGTTGGCTCCAGGTGTCTATTGGATTGCAGTAGCTACCAATTGGACCGTAAGTTTAATTTGTGAGTTTAGTTTTATATAAAAACCAACACAGATATAGGAATTACTTATAATATTAATGTGCAATTTGTTTATATAATATGCTTCTTTGATCTGAGAGAAAATTCTAGTATGGGAGAAGATACCTAGGAATTCTCTGACCTTATCTATGTGGGCATTTTATTAGTACATATTGTCTAGCCAAATAACTGTCCAATGCATTTCTATGAGAGTCCTAGATTGATTTTTTAATAAATTAAAAGATATTTTTTCTTTATTTACATAATACTTATTTTTATCTACAATATTAAAAACTATAATAATAATTTAAAAAAAACTAAAACTAGAAACTTAAATATCATATAGTCCTACTCCCCGCGGTATTGTGCCAAGAACGCTGGCTGCGTTTCCCCGCTGAATGGCTATACTTAGCCTTTGAGCGATGAAAGAACCAGCCCTCTTATCACCAGCAGCAACGACCAGCCGCGGATGGAGTTCCTTTAGGAACTTCACCGCACGTGGATCCCACGGACCGATAGTCTCTACAGCAAATGGCACAAATATGTAGTCATCTCTCAGAGACTCATATTTGCGCCACTTACTCAGTTCAGCTGCCTCTGATGCCGCCCCGGCTCTAAGCAAGGTATCCCTGAGATGAGAGGCCGCCAGAGTGTCTACCCAAGTAGCATCCCACACTAGGGCTTTACCTCTCTCCCAAGGGACCAATGTCATACCGTCGGGTCTCTTGCCATCGTCTCTAAATATTTAACAAGGCTCTAAAACAGAGGGAACATTTATAGAGACAAGAGCCCTTCGGATGACATCGTTCAAAGAACTGTGTCGTGAAAACCTACCAGGGCTTTTATTACATGAAAGTCCGTGGAGCCCAAACTTGTAGACGCTGCTACCACAGGGACACTGATGGGGTTGACAAATCGCCGCTCCTAGTCAGATTCCTACGGCAATGCGTAAGCTTTACGCATCAAATAATGTGCCGAGATTACTTGATGGTAAAGCGTGTAACCAGTGACTAGATTCCTTAGTCGAAACAGCTAGAAGGCGTGCCTTATCTTGGTCACTATGGAAATTATGAAACAAATCCTTCTGCACGCCCTGTACCAACGGAATATCCCACTGTTTTTGTTGGTTAACTTTCAGTGGAACATTTTCACCAGGACAAAGTGTTTGCCATGTCTGCCCTGCCTCCGTAGCAAAGCATAGGTCTACTTTATAATTTAAAATTATATTACATAAGTCACTGACACTATGCACGGAAGCAAGGAAAGCAGGCAATGCAATGCTAGAAAGATTTCTCACACCAATACCACCAAATTTTATAGGTAAAGTAGCTTGAGTCCAGGCTGTTGTATTTAAAGTTAAATTTAGAATTTTTTTCTATAGCTATTTTAAGATTATTATCAATATCTTGTAAAATATCCGAACATTTCCAGACTGGACTCGAGCGGAGTAAGTATGTAAATCTAGGTACAAGGAGACAATATTTTAAAATAGTAAGAGCTATGTGGGGGTTTAATTTATACAATTTATCAACGTGGTTAAAAACTGATCAAATTTAGTTTTTAAAACAGGTTTAATACTATCGAAAAACAACGGGGCACCTGGCAGGTATAGTGATTCCGTACTGACAGTTTTTATTCCTGGACAAATATGAATAAAATTTTGAATTAAAGTGTCTCTATGAGAAGTAGATAAATTATTGGAGAAAAATATTTCACATTTATTGCTATTTGGTTCAAGACCAATATTTTTAACATTTTTAAAAATATGAATAAGATCACTGATGACATCACCTCCCAGTGTATCGTCGTCTAGGTACCAGACATTCAGCTTGGATTTCAAATTTGAAATAATGGGTTGAATTCCCAAACTGAAAAGTGCTGGACCCAGTGGGTCACCCTGCTGAACACCGACAGCAGAATCAATAACATGGTTTTCGTAATACAAGTTAGTATTTTGACTATAACATTGCCAAATGTAATGAATAATTTCAGGGGTATTATTAGCCAATTCTTTCAGCAAGGTTACCCTATCGATAGAGTTAAAAGCATTCCTTAGGTCTTTAAGAAGTACTCCGCCGGCGTCACCGGCAGAAGCGCTTACAAGATCTTTAAGATGTTAAGGCATTGTAGCATGAATGTGTTGGCTCGACCAAGGAAGGACTACACTCTCACAGAATACCAGTGTAAAATAGCAACTTAATGCTGCTGTGTTTCATATGGTGAGTGTAGAGAACCAGAGAGCCTTTTTACTGGAAATGAGGCATTCCATCTTAGTTCTCACGGGTGACAAAGCATCTGCATTTTGATTTGTAATAGAGGATAGATGTAGATGTCTATGGGCCGCAGCAACCACTTACCATCGGGTGGACTATGTTTGTTTGTCACCCTTATCCTATTAAAAAAAAGACAGGAATATGAAACAAAAACAGGGCTAATTATTCTATTAAAATTTTAAAATATTTAGTTATAGGATCTATTTAACATTTTAGTAAAATAGAATTGACTTCTTAATAAGACTTATTAATAATAAATTAAATTTATTTACTTACCAAACATACGTAAATGCATATAAGTCGGGGGACTGAAGCTGCCGCAAGCCATAAGAACAATTTTTCCTTGCGACATTGTAACTGCTTGAAATTGATCTACAATTATGAATTATTACTTAATCCTTATAGCTTTTATTAGTCCTATCAAATCACTACATATTATCTGGAGCAAGGCTTTTCATACTTTTTACAGAACAAGAATAAACAAGAACAGGCGACAACAGTGTTCAATAATTTCAAAGTCAAATCAAATGTCAATATTGATATTATTTTTATCTTCTTAAAAATGTCAAAAGTGACTACTAGTGTTGTCACTTATTATTACCGAAATTTACCGAAACACTTACCTACTTCATTTCTTCATTATTTTTCAATTGATTCACATCTGTTTGTATTTTTTAATACACATTCGCGCCTTTTTTGTGTTTTTTTTTTATTTAATCATGTTGTGACAACCTGTAATTTATAGTCCGTTAAAGATAATAATACTATATACACATAAAAACTCACGCCTGTCACCCAGAGGTCTAAGCAGAGACTACGGACTTCCGTTCGGCATGATTTGACGCCTCTTTTACATCCATATACCTACGCAAACATGCTCGTTGGTTACGAGCACTCTTATTTTGACTCATCTTCAATATACCTATCGCCAATTTCGTCGATAAAATTGTGTCTACGGCGTCCCTTTCCGACTCTGCCGTTCAGTTTTGCAACATAGATTTGCTTTGTCATTCTTTCCTCGTTCATTCTTTCTACATGACCAAACCACCGAAGCATTTCTTTATTAAGCCTAGTCACAACATCATCTTGTCAACTAGGTACACTTTTCTCTTGTCACACAAGTTCTCACCCTGTTCAGATTCAGTCGCAGTTATATTAATCATAATGTAAAGTAATATGATAGAAGGCTACAAATTGTATAAATTGCAACTACAGTAGGATGTCCTTTACCAAAATAAATAAACACTATCACACTTAAACCTCACCCACGTTTCGTATTAGTTTTGAAATCGTACCTAGTCATTATTTAATCTTTCTTTTTTTTTTTCAAGTAGGTAATATGTTGGTCACAAGCGAGATTTTGTGTTCCAATTTAATATGTAATGCATTAACAATGTGCGCTAATATTCTTCCTCACACCAGATGTCGTTAGTTGGTACTAAGTTGAAGTTATTTCATCCTACACAATGTCATTATAATTGTGAAGTTACATCTTAAATATAGTTTATCGGTTTCTAAAGTATGTCCAGTCCGTACGGATAAAGAATGGGATTAGAAATAGCGGTTAATCATTAATCAGCATGCACAGTACCAAAAGCGATAATCCGGTAATAACGGTATATCGTTACAACGTTATATTATTCGGTTAATTGGAAATTTTCTATTTATGAAAAATATTTGAAATTAATTATAAGTATACCCAAATAGGTAATATAATTAATTATAATTAATTTTAAAATAACATTTATTATAATATAAGCGACCCGCTCTGAGTTGGGATTTATTAATAAGGCGTTACTTCGTAATTATTTTTTTAAATTAATTAAGAATTAAGTACAAAAAAAGCATATCACAAAGTATTTTTTTTTGCAGTGTTTACCGACAAGTTTGAGTATACATAGCATCAGTCTGAGAGCGAGAGGTTAATAGAGGCGACGCCGTTTTCAATCACATTCTTTAACCGCACGGGTAGTAAATATACGGAACAATACTTCAGTGGTTTGCTTTTTAATTATTTTGCACATTTTGATTAACTCTTCATTTATTTTTCTGCTTTTAAGAATATCCTTAGTTTATTTTATTCATTTCTAATATAACAAAATGCTACAGCCATTACCTACATTAACAACAATATCCTGAAATCTATGGTAGCAGAAAAAGCAGTATATCGTCTTTTTTAACCGACTTCAAAAAAGAGGAGCTATGCAATTCGACTGCATATTTTTATGTGTGTTACCTTATATATTTTTTCTATGTGAACCGATTTCGATGATTCTTTTTTATTAGAAAGCTGGTGCTTGGTTAAGCTGTTGTAACGCCTTTGGATATTGTGACGAATTTTGTGAAAAAAAGTGCTTTACTAGGTAAGCTAGGTTACTACCGGCGGCTTTTTCATTTTTTTTTTGATGTTGTTAGAAAGACGCTGCTGCCCATCTCTTAGTTTGAGTCTCTTTGTCGGCGACACAGTTCACAGTTGCCACACAGTTGTTGAAAAATAATTTGATTGTAAAAATTAAAATCAAATTATTTTTCAACAACATTGGTATAATAATTATATACGCACGATGAACGAATCGCGCTACTGCTTGCTTGCATGTTCGTTCTTTGTTCTTATATTATAACATTACGTTACATTCAGTCCAAACTTGCGTTAGACAGTAGCTGACTCGAGTTAACTGACTTAACAGCTAACTCAATTTTAAATCCATCACTGAGGCTGTCAACTATCTAAGCTTAACAACTCACCGTTGATACGACAATTGCCGTATTATACGACAATCCATGACTTTTTTTAAGAAAATACGGCATACGGCAGACCACTCATTGCTGTATCACAAAATACGGCAATTGGCCATAAGGTGAAATGAAAAGTTTTTTCACTTGTGTAATGAATGAAACAAAACATATGTACCACACGAGTAAAGAAACAGAACAGAGACAAAAACCTTCATACAACTACTCTAGATATGATCTTTGTGCAATGTAATTGGTAAATGATTATAATTTATTATTTTAATGTGGTAGATATTATGTCATACATACATACAACTTTTAAAAAAATCACATTATTGAATTGCTTGAGCGAAAATTTTGCGAATATTTTGATTTCGAAATAAACATTGTTAGTATTGATAGTGATGTATTAAAACGTGTGCAAGATCGTATATGTCATGTGAGTGATTTCTTTTAGATTATTTACAAGAAGAAAACTTTTTATTACGTTTTACATTTACCATTCAACTAAAAGGTACAATAAATATTGTTAAACCAAAAATATGAAGTTAAAATATTTAGAGTAGTAGTTTGTAAAAAAATGAAAAGCCACGACAAATAACCACTAGGTAAAAATGAATTTGAAGTGTTAGAAATGATAAGAACATTAACTGAGAAAAAACAAATAAGGAATAGACATTTTTAAAATAAATAATTATAAATACGACAATTTAGTAATGTTTTCCTTTAAATACGGCAAACCAGACTGTGGCATACGGCAAGTCAAATTTTTACGATGGCAGCACTTTGACAAGTGACAACTTGACATTGACGTTTTGATTTTTTAGATTTTATAGATATGTAGATGTAGATCCAAGATTTTTTAATACATAATTTAAATTTATTCTTCGTTCATCATTTCTATAACTATTTAAATATCTCTTAATATTTTTAAGATACTGTATAATAAATTACTAAATAGACACTACAAAGTGATTTACTACTACTGCTACATTATTTTTGTTGAGAAAAATTAACATAACCATACTAGCCTTGGATACTAGCAGACCGTTATAATGAGACTTACCGTTCGTCTGCTTTCCTCTGTAGTGCAAAAACGGCCTTTCTATGTTACTACGCCTATATTTTACGTAAATGCCGGTAAGTATTTTAAAGTTATATTCATTTTTGTTATATGAAAATAAAGTGAAAGGTGCGTGGTTATTTTCCTTGCGTACTTGATTGCTAAGTACGCATCTTCGCCATAGGTAACAACATTCACGTCATGTACCCCGTTTAGTTTAGCCTTGTTGTGTAGTGTACCTAGCACACAAGTTATATCCAATGCCTTGTGGGTAGATTTTATCTTATTTTGTGCCAGTGCCTGTCTGATTGTGAAAGTTAAGCCATTGTTATTCAACAGCAGCCAGTCTTGGCACCTATATATGCGCTAGGATCCTGTAGGCCCTCATGCAGCATTCAGTGTGCTTGAGTGGCTGATACTTCTGTCCGTCTCCTCTATGGTCACACTATTTTATCACACTAAATCCCACATCAATGAAAGATGGAATGAGAAACTTGATAGTATCACTGGGAAGAACATGGTGACTATTCTTCCTTCCCAGTAGAACTGGAGTCTCAGACATGTCTAGGGCTATATTCCCATTCTTAAGCTCTTGTTAAGAGTTCAATTTTTAAGAGGCCTTAGTGTAATGTCTACGACTTCTTTGCTTCTTTATCAGACATTAACAGCCCACTTTTATATTTTGGTTTTACGGTTTTCTTCCATCATAAGTAAGATTTGTTGAAATTATCATGATTTCCAAAATGCACATTTCTGGCTTACATATTTATAAATTTTCAGCACCACATCTCGGACACCTTTACTCAGCGTTGGTAGCAGATGCAGTTCAGCGATTTGAGAAACTCACAAATCCTGACTGCAGTGTTATATTCAGTACTGGTAAGCTTATAAGTGTTAAACATTGTTTTTATTAACTCACTTTTGTGTATGTCTGTTTGGGTTGAATTTAGTAATTAATTTAAAACTAACTTACAGATGCGCTAGAGACTTGAAATTTTGAACATAACTCAGAATCAGATGACAATCTAAGATTATGAATATTTTAAAATTTCATTTGTTTTTATATAATACAGTTAATATTTCATTTGTGGCTTAAGATCTTTATTATGATAAGAACTAATTGCACATATTGTTTAACTTATGTAAGAGGATTACAATTATTTAAATATTTATATATACATGGTTAAGTCATCGATCACTAATAAAAAACTAGATGCACAATCCCTTACAAAAGTTCTCTAAAAACTGTCGCCAAATGTTTTGACGTAATTCTAGTTGATATAAATATACATTAATGTAAATTCAATCTTAAGTGATATGCTTAAAGTTGTATTCACAAAGCAACGTACAAAAAGCAATAAAATTTTACGACCGAGGCTCTTCGCTTGGACTAGGAGAGTGGAGTCGAACTGCACAATATTTTTTGTGACTGTAATTATAATTTTACAATTTTTTTAAACTTGTTTTAAATAATTGGTCTACTTAATAAAGCATATTCTATTCTATTCTATGGTGTATATGTGTAATGGTTATATTATTACTTGAATGTAAATATGCTTTTGTATACGGCACCACATTCATTTAGTAATGAAAATAATTGAAATAGTCATAATTATTTATTTATTCTTTATTATGTGTGAAAATTTAAAGATATTGCTTGACGAACAAGTTAAATCTAAATATAATAATTACTAAATATAAAAAATAAGTACAGAAAATTCTTGCAAAATCTAAGAACATTATTGTCCAAATTTTGACGTAATGCTCATATTTACAGGTGTTTAAAAAACGGATAAGCCTCATGCTTTAATATATTGATTGCATAATTATAATGATTTCTTATATTTACGCGTTCACTTCACATTTAAATGAAACTAGTTTTACGGATTTTAACGCGTATATTAACTTATTTTATATTCAGTAAAGAACTCTCATTAAACAAAAATAAAAATACAATCATACATTATAACAAAATAATAAATAAAAAGAAACAATAGCGTTTCCACAAATGGAACAGAATCAACGCATATACCTTGAACAATGATGACTTATTTTATTACGACTTAATTTAAAAAATACTTTTTCGATGATTTCTTGACAAAATATCAGTATTTACAATACAGTTATAACAATTAAATAATGTTAATATTAATATTTATCGAAAATATGAAATTCCACCCTTTTTTAGCGTCCTGGATGTGTGCTTTTTACACTTTTTAAACGAGCACTGAGGCATGTTTACCGTCGGAACATTCAAATGCTACTAGATTAAATGTTCGAGTGGGTGCACATTCGATTATGCCATTTTTTGTCACTGATTGTGTATCTAGTTTTTTATATGTGATCGATGGGTTAAGTAAACAAAAGTAAAATAACATAAAAGTGTGAAGGTAGAATACTAAATATTACGTAATACGTTAGAAACATCATTATCATTACAGCCCTTCACAAGTCTACTGTTGAACATAAGCCTCCCCCAAAGAATACCACAAACAATACTAAATGTCAAATATTGTCTGCCAGCACTGGGCCCGATAAGTGCAGATAAGTGTAAACATAGAAACAGAGTTAACTGAGCACAACTAGAAGTATTGTATCTAATTATATATTATATATTATTGAATCAATAATAATCCAGTTCTTTATTATATGTAAGATTTGTTATTAATAGGCATGGTTTTTTCACATCATCAGGTACAGATGAGCATGGAACAAAGATACAGCAGGCAGCAGCCAAAGCGAATCTCTCCCTCCCAGAGTACTGTACCAAACTATCTCAGGAGTATAGGGATCTGTTTAGAGATTTTGATATTGGGTATACAGATTTTATACGAACCACTGAGGAAAAGCATAAGAAGGCAGTCAGACATTTTTGGGTAAGTCCACAGTCGATAATCCTGTTTACTAATTTAAGGCAAATTTTATGTTGCAGAGCTATGCTGCAGCTATATTATGATTGTATCATGTATGGGTCAACTTGTCCTGGGAGAGACCACATTCTCACAGAATACCAGTGTAAAATAGTAATGCTCTTGTATGGTGAGTGTAGAGAACCGGAGGCAATTTTTACTGGAAACATGGCATTCCATCTTATATGCTGCTGGATTTGGGTTGCTAGTAAATAATATATTAAATATTGTAGATAATAAAGAATCTAGAGAATCCAAAGAGAGTAAAGAAATGCAATATTGTCCTTGCAATACAATTTGAATCTAATTAAATCTAATAATTACCATTTAGCCATCTGACATGCAATCCCTACATTATTTTCAAAGTCAAAGCATTTTTTTGTAAAAGCATTACATCATGCAGCAATTTACAATATGCATAAATTCAAATTAATTTATTTGCCAGAATGTAGGTGTACAATAAAGTATGATCTTATATTATATCTAATGGCCCATTTACATTCTGCCACTAGATGTGGTGTGCAAACATTTTATAGGTGTACACGCAAAAAATTATTTAAACAGCAAATAGAAATTATTAAAAACAAATTAATTAACTGGAGTCAAAATTACAATGTCAATTCAAACGATAAATTTTAAAATGTTAGATTATTTAGTAAGGTTGCAAAATTTTTTAAACAACAAATATAAACTCAATTGTGTATTCATATCATATTTATGATTATTAAAATCAAATTAATTTATTGCTGTTATAATTATAATGTCAATTTAAAGGATAAATTTTAAAATGTTACATTATGTATATAATAAATGCATAGTATATGAATAAATTCAATTTCAGATAAATCTCTACAATATATAAAAATCAATTGCTGTCTGTTAATCTTGTAAAACTCAAAAATGGCTGGACCGATTTTGATGAAATTTTTTGTGTGTGTTTCACAATTGGACCCGGTAGGTGGCATTGTTGTCTAGATCTAGAAATCACCCGTGTGAAGCCGGGGCCAATTGCTAGTAAAAATATAAAAAAATACACCATTTTTAGTATTAAACACATTGGCGTGCTCAGCAGAGCGAGACAGTATTTCATGCGGGCACACCGCTTGCAACTTTACAAGGCACAGGTTCGGCCTCACATGGAATACTGTTCCCATCTCTGGGCAGGGGTACCCCAGTGCCAGCTCCTTACATTTGACCGCATCCAGCGCAGATCGGTTCGAATCGTCGACGACCGAGTTCTTTCTGATCGGCTTAACTCACTGGCACTGCGTAGAGATGTTGCATCTCTTTGCGTATTTTATCGCATCTACCACGGGGAGTGCTCTGAGGAATTGTTCGGACTAATTACAGCCGCTCATTTGTACCATCGCACATCGCGACAAAACTTGCAATACCATCCACATCATGTGGATGATTGGCGGTCCACCACTGTGCGATTTAGAAGAAGTTTTCTCCCTCGCACAACTTCCTTGTGGAATCGATTACCACCAGCTATTTTTCCGGACCGATACGGCTTAGGGACCTTCAAGAAAAGAGCCTACTCCTTTTTAAAAGCCCGGTAACGCATCTGCAATTCCCCTGGTGTTGCAGTTGTTCATGGGCGGCGGTAGTCACTTACCATCAGGTGAGCCGCATGTTCGTTTGCCCCCTCTCCTATAAAAAAAAAATAACAGTTTACTGGTCAAGTCAATTTATTTATTTAAAACATAAAAGACTTTTAATATTGATAAGGTCATTATAAGATGTTGTTAGGTTAGCTAATTACGTAATAACTTAAGACAGAAGGACCCTTAAGTAGGGACTGAATAAATTAACCGACTTGGTATTACATGGATCTCACAACTTTTTACAGTAGAAGAACTGAGTTGCGAGACTTGGTTTTTTTTACAAGTTATGTATTTGATGACATCTCATTCCTTTTTGTAGATAGTTCTATCCAGGTACCTATCTACACCTATTATTCCATTATATTACGCATATATAGGTACACTGATTCATTCACTGCATATGTAACTTTGTAATTATACATATTTATATGGGATTACAAAGTTATTTATGCAGTTGGCTTATCTCGAAAACTGGACCGAAATTGCAAAATATTTTAATTTTTCCTTGATTTATATACTAAACAATAGTTGTATTCCAAATTTGAAGCTTCTATGCCTAAGTGCCTTAGACTTTTCATGATCGGTCAGTCAGTGAGTGACAAAATTAAGAAACTTTGACTAGTTATAATTCTTAAATTACTGGTTCAAATTCAATAAATTTTGAAACAGATCGAGATTATACAATGCTTATTTGGTTATTGAATTCAGGCTTCTAGTTTTATCCACAACGAAGTTATAGGGTTTCGAAAATCGCCTGAACTGCTGCGAGAAAAGGATGGTACGGCCGTGTCGCTTTTTTGCTCGACTTGGCGGGGGTCACTGCCGTGCCCCCAGATTCCAAAGACATTTGAAGTCCGCCAAAAGTACTGGAGAAGGGCGGCAGATTAACTTATCCATTATCCTGGTGACCTGTAATACTGGTCTAAACCTACAAGGGCTCCCACTAATGACATAATATTGTTAAATAAGAGATGTAACACTAATGTATCTTCCATGTCGTTTGTGGTGAGAAAAAAATCAATAATAATAATAATTATTATTATTTTGGGGTATTCATATAGTATTCTCATCTGGTTGGATTGAATAAATATATAAAAGATAATGATAAATATACTTACATTAAATATACTAACATAGAGCCGTGGTAGCTCAGATGGTTAGCGCTCGCTGTAAGCTTCACAGTACTCGAGCAACCCGGGTTCGATCCCCGCAGGCACCAATGAAATTGTTAATTGCAATTTTAAGTGCTGATTTACCACGTGCTCGGCGGTGAAGGAAAACATCGTGAGGAAACCTGCATGTCTGAGAAATAAGAAGAAAAATATTTCGAAGACATGTGAAGTTCGCCAACACGCATTGGGGCAGCGCGGCGGACATTTCCTTGCCCTAAAACCCTCTCAGAAATGAGAGGAGGCCTGTGCCCCCAGCAGTGGGACGTAAATAGGCTGCACCTTACCTTACCTTATACTAACATAAATAAATTATTATTAATACATAAATAAAAGCCCAACCTTTTCTTTGTTTATGTATGATTCTATTTTCTGCCTATCTCATGTATTAATCATCTCGTACATACCAGCACCCGGAACAGTGACAGGAAACCTATTGGAGGTCACCGGATTTTGAGAATTCTTCCAAGGCTTATCTTGATCCACGGGATGAGATGGGCCGATGGATTTTAATTGTTGTCGTCACAGTGATATCTGAACTGAAGATTAGACAAAATATATAGGGCTATTTTTCGAAGAGTATTCAAATCTTAAGTTTTAAATATATTAATAATGATATACTGTTATTGCACTTTTTCAAAACACGAGTAAATAAGACTTCTAATTTCATTTGAAATTATCCCAGATTGAATGTGATTTATGGGCAACAACTACGCGTACGCAGGTTCCTCTGTGTGCGATTCAATTCACAACATTTTTGCCGATCGAGCGACTTTTACAAATGTGTGCGTGCGTAGTAATTAAATAAGTAAGTAAGTAAATCAAAATTACAATCAGCTAAAATAATGCATTGACACACATTCTCAATTTAAAAGATAAAAAGGATAGAATGTTTGTGATTTATTTTTGAATAATTTTTCTTCACCATTCGCCAATATTACTTATACTGAACCTTCTCTGCAAATTTGGGAGTATGTTGCAAAATAACCCGGTATAATTATTCCTTATTAAAACCTCTCAACTTCATAGATTCACACATAAAAATGTAATGAAGCTGTGGTTATTTTTTTTTATATAGAATAGGATGACAAACAAGCACACAGTCTACCTAATGGTAAGTGGATGCTTTGGCCCATAGACGTCTACATTTATCCTCAAATAAGAATCAAGATGCAGATGCATTGTCACTGGTGAGGATCGAGGATCATTTCCAGTAAAAAGGGTCTCCGATTCTCTACACTTACCATACAAAACACAGCAGCAATAAACTGCTATTTTGCGCTGGTATTCTGCAAGAGCGTGGTCTTACTCCGGACGAGCCGACCCATTTGTGCTACAGGCATAATGTAGTTGCAGTGTGACTAACACATATAAATTATTTCAACAGCGGAAGCTGGTAAAACGCGATTACATATACAAGGCGAAGTATTCCGGTTGGTACAGTGTCAATGATGAAGCGTTCGTGCCCGAAACACACCTGAAAGAGGATATCTTGGATGGTCAGAGGGTAAGTTAATTGACATATTTGTTTACTTCTCAGGCCCAAGCTTCCCTGCAAAGACTTTTCTCGGATTTGGCTTAAAATTATTATACTTTGTAAATTTAACATAATAAAAATGCTGTATTTTTGTTGTTTCCTTGCCCTACAAAACCCACTCAGAAGTGAGAAGAGGCCTGTGTCCAGGAGTGGGACGTATATAGGCTGAAAATCTTATTCAAAAGCCTAATAAAACAAATCGTTGGAAAGATATTTGATAGTTATTTTTTCATTGAACAGGTATGTTTTTATATAGATGGCGCAGATCGCTAACTTTTTTGTTTTATAAAGTAACGTAACTTCCGCAGTTATACAGAAACAGAAACTTTTTTATTCAATATAGATTATAAATAATAATTATTGAAAGTCACTCTTTTCTTTAATTACCACTGGTTCAAATTAAAACCTCTGTTCTGGAAAGAACCAGCAAGAAAAGGACTTTTTTTTTTAAATAACAGCTTCCAATCTTGTATGTTACACAATTAACGACACAAACAAATTAGAAATAGCTTGGTGGCGATCACCTATATATTACAGAGACCATGGACCATATAGCACGATCTTGAAACACTTCAGTGTACTATCTATGAATTAAAATTGATTTTCCGTACTATGATGGGTGTAGTTGTGATGATGAATGTTTGTGTTGCAGGTAAAAGTGTCAATTGAGTCTGGTCATCGAGTGGAGTGGACCGAGGAGACTAATTACATGTTCAGACTGAGCGCCTTCAAAACGCACCTGCAGTCGTGGTTAAAGACAGGTAATAATTTTTTAACAAATAATCAGGCATTTTGTCTATGGGAAAAACTACGCAAAGTTAAGCAGAAGAAATCCATCCAAAAACTATGTTTATGTAGTTAACAACAATGTACTTAATAATAATGTTTATATAGGTACAATATCATATGTAATGCAATTATTAAATAAATAAATAGAAAGTTCAGTTATTCGTTGTCCATTGACACTTCAATCATGAATATAGATTTATATGTGGCGGTCATGCTGCAGCTATATTATGGTTGTAGCTCGAATGGGTCGGCTCGACCGGCGAAGGACCACGCTCTCACAGATTACTAGCGTAAAATAGCAGTTTAACGCTGCTGTGTTTCGTATGGTGAATGTAGAGAACCGGAAACCCTTTTTACTGGAAACGAAGCATTCCACCTTAGTCCATGGGGGTGACAACGGATCTGCATTTTGAATCTTAATCGAGGATAAATGTAGATGTCTATGGGCCATTGCATCCTTTTACCATCAGGTGGACTACACAGTCCACCTGATGGTAAAAGGATGCAATGGTCGTTTGTCATCCCTATACTATAAAAAAAGAATTCTATGTCATTTATTGTACAGCATATAATTTATCATTATTCCAGATGGAGTAATAACGCCAAACAAATTCCAGAAGCAACTACAAGACTTCTTAGAAAATGAACCCTACTTCCCAGACATATCGGTCAGCAGACCCTCCACGAGGGTGCACTGGGCCATAAGGGTATGTATCTTTTTTTTTTAAATTAATATTCTTTATTGCACACCATACAAAAAGAAGTATGCAATGGGCGGTCTTATTGCTGACAGCAATTTCTTCCAGACAACCAAATTATTATAAACAAAAAAAAACATGTGTGCAGCGCAGAAGTGAATCCTTCAGAAAAGGAGACTCGAGATAATAGAAAACTGTAAACTGTATTCTATCTCATTCTCTCGCAGGCTAAATACTATAGATGTACATATATGTTTGTCGTTTCTTCGTTTCATATAAATTTCTAATCACAACGATTGTAAACAAGTTTTCACTTTTAAAAACCTTATTGTATATAAAATGTAGGCTAAATTGAAATGCGTGGAAGCTTATTATAAAACTTTTTTAAATCTCAGACTATTTTATTTAACAATTATCTATCTTATCTTATTTTAGGTAACTATAATTATCGTAATAGGCTTAATTTTAATATTAAGGCTTGAATGCAGTCTCTGGACGATCACATGTCACCCAAACTCCAACAATTTGTGTATTTTGAACAAAGAGGGCATTCACGACTTTTCCTGCCACCAGGGCGGCGCCGTTTAAAAATGAGGTGTAATATTTGACAGACTTCATAGTGGGGCAATTTTAATTTGTTCGAAAAATGTAAAGGTTGATGTTTCTCACTGCAGTCGCTTATATACCGGGTGTTTGTGAAACGCTCCCGAAAACGAAGACAGATGATAGTACTAAGGACACCTTTGATCATGGGTCACAAATAAATTTGATCCCGAGGAAAAAAAAACATCTTTTCACAACGTGTTATTAACTTTATTCACGCTGCTGCATGTTAGTACAGCTAAATGAAACGATAATTTCATAAAAAAAAAATTTAAATACTTAAACATAAAACCAGCAGTGGAATTACTGAATTAAAATCAGCTGACTACAGGTCAATGTACGCGTGGACGCCGAACTCTTATAGGTCCCGTCTCGTAAAAAGAACGCTGGCCTTGAACACACTTGGGCACAGCGATTTATCGATCAAATTGGTGGTACGAAGGGGGCTCGACGGGGGAACGCTCGCCAGTATTACTGTGCGCGCATGCTATTGGGTCATACCTTGTTGGCTCCCAAAATACAGTCGCACACACAGTTTACTTTGCACGACTCGCGACGTTGGTTTTAAAAAGGAAGGAAAAAAAATTATTTATTTCTATTGTTTTATGACTGAACGAAAAGGTAAATAGAAAGTGAATGGGGAAAATTGTCCAGTAAAGTTAAAAGTATTGAGGAAGAATACCGAAAAAATTACCAGTTAGTCGACCTGATGACGGAAGCTCAAGCGAAGATGAAACTGATGATGAAGTAGCATCCAGTTACACCAACACACCATCGACATCTGGCTTCCATGTTCCATGTTCCAACGGTATAATGGACGGCGTGTGTCACTCTTAGCTTAAGTTTTCTTGTTACAAACTACTTTATATTTTACAATAGAAATAAAAAATAATGTTCAAGTAAACATTCTCCATTTTTAATTCCAACCTCGTCCAAAGTTCTAAGTAGCTAGTAAAGTACCTATTATGATTCTACAATAAAACAATTAATTACTATTATATTATAAAACAATAGCCTAATACCATGTAGTACTTTAGAACGCGACTGTACCCATGCGCAGACACACTCCCTCCACTGTCGACCTGTATTTAGCTCGGTGCGAAACAATGCCTAGCCAACTCACTCCATCCTTCCCTTTCACACACGCGCTACCGCAGCCCGACCGGCTCGTGTCGCCTCGCGCTGTGGAATTTACTCAGCTTTGCCAACATGTGGGGAATTCGCAAAAATGCGGGGAATTTAACGTTGGTTGGAGATTTTAAGTCAGAAATCTAAATAACTATCTTAACATTTTGTTAGGTTACTTATGAATATCGAATGACTCCCTTTTTTAAATTATCTTCATTGCACCACATTTAATTTTCGGATTTATTGCAGCAAATTTTTGTATCATTTAATGCTTTACATTTCTTTATTTTTTATTTTAAAGAAAAAAAAAATGTTAGTTATAAAGTTTTGTCCTTAAATTGGGGAATTTGACATGAATTTTCGGGGAATTTGACAAATTGGTGTTGGCAACGCTGCCATGTTGCACCGAAATTTAGTTTGCCGGCGACATAAGAATGAGAGGCGACAATCACTATAAAACTTGTAAGTAATTTTTAATCATTTTGACGTAGCCCTTTTTAAATTCAAAGTATTGGTAGGATTAAATACAAAAAGTCAATTAAAATAAAGTAAAAGTATTATTTTTTACATTAATTCTGATAGATTAATTAACTGTCGATCATAATTGCAATTGATTTTAACTATTAAATTATTCAGTACCATTTCATTTCTATTTTCTTATACAAAATCAAAGATAACGATTAAATAGTGTTTATAATTGTGTAAGTGAGTACTGAGTACCCAATTAGGTACGTTTATAATTTTATAATTTTTGTAGTAAAGAACTGATTTTTGCGTGAGGGTACAATTGATTGTGTAATTGTATTAAAAATGACAACCATAACTTCTAAATTCCATATGAAGACTAGTCGTAGGGATAACTAAACTTATAAATAAAATAAATGTTGGCAATGTCGTAAGGGTTTTACAGTTTGTGGTAGTAGCTTAGTGCTTCAAGGACGAATGCGTCGTGCGCAATTGTTTTGGCGAAAGAGATTATTAATTTTAGTTTTAGAGACCGTTTTTCCGTGTTGACTATCACGTGCGCGTGAGCGACAATTCAATCGTTTTGTTTATTACATTCTTGTTGTTACGTTTTGTTTTTCTTGTTTTGTTTTAATACTGCCTAACGCGTAGGTACGTTTATAGTGCTCGTGAATACGGCAACATCTCATAAGATTTAGATCGGTACGCTATTTCACACCTAATTTTTTTTAAATAACTTAGTACTGAACTCATCTGAATAGGTACTGAATACATCAGAATAATAAACATATACCTACACAAATAGCATGACTCTAACCTTGTTAACATTTCATTTAAGTATTTTTTCATTAGCGGGGAATCGAACCAGGTATTTGGTGTCTTTAACCTGTGAATAGTTATAATAAAGTGGAGACAAGCAGTGGCCAAATAGTAGGTTAAGTAGATAAGTTAAGTATTTAGACAAGTGTTTTAAATTATTAGGTATTGAGGTACCATCGCTAGGCGCCGCGAGAATTCGGCGTCCACGCGTACATTGACCTGTAGCCAGCTGATTGTAATTCAATAATTCCACTGCTGGTTTTATGTTTAAGTATTTTCATTATTTATTTTTTTATGAAATTATCGTTTGATTTAGCTGTAATAACATGATGGAGCGTGAATAAAGTTAATAACACGTTGTGAAAAGATGTTTTTTTTCTCGGGATCAAATTTATTTGTGACCCATGATCAAAGGTGTCCTTAGTACTATCACCATCTGTCTTCGTTTTCGGAAGCGTTTCACAAACACCCGGTAATTGGATTAAAAATAAATAAACTAAACCATAGATATTCATAAAGGAGAAAAAAAAAAAAACGTTTTAATTGTACCAATAACTGTTTATGTGGATATGAGCTGTTTTTTCTCAACAAAGTTCAACCCTTTCGTCGCCAATTAGCACTTTAACACACTTCAATTCATCACAAAGAACACTATTATCCACCATTTTCACTAAAAATCTTTATAAAAGCATAAATTTTCAACTCGCAATATTAATTCGCTCAAGTAAACACAGAGTAAACATTGAAATGTGAAGTGAAGTTGCAAACGTATCGCCCGGATGCCCTCGACTAACTTCACACCAAAAGCTGGGCTTTTGGCTCCCACACTAATTGCTATATTAACAATCATAGTTATATTTCATTATAGAATATTTTGCCACAGGTTAGAAAGGGAGTGATCGTCTTCTTGAAAGCCCGGTAAAAAGCCCACGTGTGCGAGAGAGACGACTAATGGCTCAACTCAACTCCTTTTTTATGACAGTAGTATCGCGCAGTAAAGCAATCTGCCAAGTGTTGACGTTACATAATAAGGCTATGAGGTCATGAGCTGTGTAGAACAGAGGAGCGCGCGGGAAATTTGAAATAGTTTGAAACAGTTTACGAGTTTAATTGAGCAGTTTGATAGGGCAAACCCGGTTTCTCGGCTTCTATGGAGGCTTCGCATTAAGCATCACCTGCGCGAAGATCTGCCAGTATTGTTCCAACAACTGCAATGAAGGTGGCCGAGGGATCTAGCATACATGTGATAGCATTGTGGTAGCTTGCATATTCTGTGATCCCACATACAACAGCTAAGCTCTCACCACTTTCAGGTCCCAGATGATGAAGAACAGAGTATATACGTATGGTTGGATGCACTGATCAACTATTTATCTGTGATCGGCTACCCAGATGATGATGCAATGAAGGACCGGGGTCGACCCTGGCCTGCAGATGTCCAAGTTGTTGGGAAGGATATACTTAAGTGAGTTTTAAAGCTTTTACTGAGATTGTAAATGATAATAATATCCAGATTTTTTTTATGGTATAGGTTGACAAACGAGCACACAGTCCACCTGATGGTAAGTGGTTGCTGTGACTTATAGACATCTACATCTATCCTCGATTACGAATCAAAATGCAGATGCGTTTTCACCCGTGAGGACTAAGATAGAATGCCTCGTTTCTAATAAAAAAGGGTCTCCGGTTCTCTACACTCACCATACGTAACACAGCAGCGTTATGATGCTATTTTACGCTGGTATTCTATGAGAACGTGATCCTTCCCCGGTCGAGGTGATCCATTCGTGCTACAGCTATACTATTAATGTAGCTGCAGCATGGCTCTACAAAATATTGCCCTATTTTACCACGTTTTAATTTAGTCACTTTCTTGTCTGTCTGTCCTTCCGGGTGGAATTTAGTAATTGATTTTAAACTAACTTCCTGATGAGCTGGAAACTTGAAATTTTGAATATAGATGGATGAAAATGCCAGAATATGATTAAAAAACGTTGTAATTTTTTTTTAATTTTACTTGTTTACCACGTTTTTATTAGCTGGCTTTTGTGTAAGTCTGTTCGGGCCTAATTTAGTAATTGATTTTAAACTAACTTCCTGATGAGCTAGAGACACTGTAGTGTTATACTACTTACGTATCATTTTACATTATTTTAAATTCATTTTTCCATTCTGTTTCGATTTTCTGCATTCACCTCAAAACTGGATATTTTACATCACCTTTATTTCCATAGGATCCTGTAACGATTTTAAACCATAAGAACACAATAACAAATCATTTCTACTTCGTATTTTCACATTATCAGCACTTCTAAATTGGTGTCAATGGAGTCTACCTTTTTTCGATCTTTTAGCTAGTTTTCCGTAACTCTACAATTTTGGGCTTTGTGTGGGCAGCTGCGCTACCTTTTTTCCTATATCAATAATATCTCATTTTCCACTTAAATCTTACCGTTTTCTTATTATAAACCAAAAACAAAAATTTGACATGTTTTGTCTTTCTTATTTATATCGTTTCCATGGTAATTATATTCAAATTTGCTACCGATCTGTTATTCCTATTTCGATAATTCCACATAAATCCTCTTTTCTCTTGACCATTTACAAAAAATTTGCGTTTAATTTAAATAATTTTTCCGTTCTCTCTAGAAAGGTATAAAAGCCGAACAATTGGTGAAGAAAGGCAGTCTCGCTTCAGTTCGCGAATTGGAAGTATATATAGTAATTTTTCCGTTCTCTCTAGAAAGGTATAAAAGCCGAACAATCGGTGAAGAAAGGAGTCTCGCTTCAGTTCGCGAATTGGAAGTATTTCCTAAAGGCCTTATCCCGGGGCCGCACTGCCCCGGGATCCTGCAAGCCTCCACCTACACGTGAAGTCTTCGGCGAAGCCTTCTTCAAACGCGGAGCCGCACCACTCCGGATTCCTACAAGCCTCCATCTACCTCGGAAGTCGCTTCGAGACTACTACAAGCGCGGGGGCCACACTACTCCGGGCGCTACGACTACTTACTCCAGGCGCCGAGTGCACCTACCGCCGGCGCTACCTTTGGGCGCTGCAACTGCTGGCTCTAAGCGTTGCGCGCCCCTTCTCCAGGCGCTACGTGCGCCGGCTCCGGACGCTGCGTGTACTGGCTCCAGGCGCTGCGCGCCGTCGCTGCTAAGAAACCTACTTCTACAAGCGCAAACGGCGTGTGCTGGCTTCAGGCGCTGCGTGCCGTCGCTGCTAAGAAACCTACCTCTACAAACGCAAACGGCGTGTGCTGGCTTCAGGCGCTGCGTGCCGTCGCTGCTAAGAAACCTACCTCTACAAACGCAACGTGTGTCGCTTCGACTTTTAGGCCCCACTACAACACTATATTCCCCTATTCTCTCACCTTTATTTTTTTTATAATCTAATTGTACTCTCACTTCATTCATCATCATCCTCATTTCATTTTTTTATAAAATTGTAAATACCTTTTAAAAATTTAAATATATTGTTTTCTGGCTCTACTTTTGTTGTTTTGTTGTACTTAGGTTAGGTTCAATTTTTTTTTATTGTCGCTTCACGACACGACATTTTACACGACATTTTATATTAACAAAATTAATCCATAATTTTTTTTTAATTTAATTTCTCCTATATAACATTTTTAATTATTTTCAATTGAAATGACAAATGACCGTAAAGTCTACCTCATGGTAAGTGGTTACTTACTGTAAGTTTTGTACGTTTGCGATCAACTTTAATTAAAGAAGGCTAGAAATTGTCACTTCTGTGCAGTGGCGAAGCTAGGGCTCCAAACCAGGGCAAGCCCAAGATATGTTTTTGTTGTTTTTAGTAGTTTTATAAAAATTTACCTTTTCTCTTTTTTGATTTTACGTTTTCCTCACCGATTAGCACTTTAACACACTTCAATTCATCACGAAAACACTATTATCCTCCATTTTCGCTAAAAATCTATAAAAAAGTATAAATTTCCAACTCAATATTGCGAGTTTTATTCGCTCAAGTAAACACAGAGTAAACATTGGAATTTAAAGTTGTGAAGTGAACTTTGCAATCGCACGCCCCCGCGCTCGACAACTTCACACTGAAAGCCTGGCTTCTGATCTCCATACCGATTGCTATGTAAACAATCGTAGTTATATTTCATTATGGAACATTTTGCCACAGGTTAGGAAGCGATCGTCTTCTCGAAAGCCTGGTAAAAAACCCACGCGTACGAGAGATACGACTAATCGCTCAACTGCGTGTTCGCTTTGAAACAGAAAGAACACGAATCAGTGTATTTCAAATTGAAAGCAATCTGCCAAGTGTGTAGAACAGAGGAGCGCTTTGAAACAGTTTACGAGTTATTTTATTAGTTGATATTATTAATAGGGCAAGCCGGGCTTCTCGGCTTGTATGGAAGCTTCGCTACCGCTTCTGAGGACTGAGATGTAATGCCTCATAGTCGGTAATTATACTGCCCCTAAAAATTGTGAACGATCCAGGCCTCTTCCACCTACTTACATCGAAAACTCTTTCCTTTCAGATTCCATGGTATTTATTGGCCTGCATTCCTAATGGCAATAGGCTGGCACCCTCCGAGGAAGTTAATATGCCACGGGCATTGGACGGTGGATGGTAGCAAGATGTCGAAGTCTCTTAACAACGTGGTCCGTCCCAGGGAAGTACCGACTTCGCCAGTTGCGCTTCGCTACGTTCTACTTCGTGAAGCAACAATGGCCGCTGATGCTAGTAAGTGGCTTTATATTACAAGATATGACTACAGTAGATTGGTGTGCATAAGAAAAACAATATTAGGGTTGTTCCATATACAATTTAACTTGATATAGATAGGATTTTTTTTATCAGATCTCGGTGGTGGGACTACATTTTTGCCTAGATATCTGTCTGTGTAGGTACCAACCTCCTACCTACTTCTGCTAAATAACTAATCTCGTCGAATCTCGTCGCCACTTAGAAATATCCTTATGTGAGATTTTCTAGGGTAGAAAATAAAACATCGTGTTCGCGTATACCTGCGTCAACGATTATATTCTCTCTTATAGTTTTTAATTTTATTAGGTTTTATAACAGTGTCATTTATTTCCACTCCAGATTACAGCGAAACAAAACTAGTCAACATAGCAAACTCTGAGCTGGCAGACACACTGGGAAACCTGGCCAGCAGATGTTGCGGAACATCCCTTAACCCTCGAGCGGAGTTCCCTACACTACACACACAAGAAATGGCCATTTGCAGGCAGTCTGATGTCACCGCCACCCTCCTGGACCAAGTGGAAAGACTGCCTGGTGAGTAGAGATTGGTTTATAAAGTATGCACTATAAATCAGTATGGTATGTTTGGCAATAACGGGTAATAATATAACACACACACGAACACAAGCATAAACACGCACAAACACGCCTTATTATATAAGTAAAGCATCTATCATATAAAAATAATTATTTCAATATTTCTATTTATTTACGCTAACAAGTCCCTACAACGAGGTAGGGCTTTTGTTAGCAATAATTCACAATTGTTTAAGAAATTGTAAATGTTCAATCGCCTCTAACCACCTCTGGATTATATGTGACGCACAAACGCACACGCGCACACGCGCACGGTCGCGGCGGTAGCATCGATACATTAGCATGATGTAAGGTGACCTCGTGCGCCAGCGGCTGCAGGCAGGCGTCCCCTTTGAATCTTGATCAGTCGTTTACGTACTACAACGGAGAGAGATTGTCGCTTTGGCTTACGGACGCTTGTTATCTAAATATTAACGTGTGTGTAAATGTGTAAAAAAATTATGAACCGGTTTTTTTATGGAAGATTGGCTGCAAACAAGTATGAGACTCACCTGATAGTTAGCAACTGCCGTCGTTATCTCAATACCAGATTCCATCTGCAATACCTCTCTAAGTTCTAGGATGTTTGCATATTGTATTTATTTCTATAACAAAGAATGATAAGCATCTTATTTACTTCTTACAGAAATCTGTCATAACCACTACAGCAGTTACCAATTCTACAAAGCGGCAGACTCTGTTATCCATGTCTTACATTTGGCCAACTTGTTCTTTGAAACCCACAAGCCCTGGGAACTAAAAAAGAGGCCCGAATGCCAGAAAGAACTCGACGTCATCCTCCACATTACACTAGAAACGTTAAGGATATGTGGAATTATATTGCAACCGTTGATCCCTGAACTGGCAACACAGCTGTTAAATAAATTACAAATACCGGAAGACTGTCGAAGCTGGCAACACTGCGAAAAACCTTCGTGGCAGTTAGAAGGCGCAATTTATGAAACAAAGAACATACAACCAGGCAAATTTGTTTTGTTCCAAAGGATTTATATGGACAAGAAAAATATACATAAAAAGAAAGCTAGTGCTTAGACGTCGGTGTTGTCATGTTTAACTTTGATTTACAAATACCCATAGTCAAAATGAATGCGGTATCCAATGGAAAGTTTGTAAATAGCAGTAATATCTCATAAAGTTAGATCTGCATTCAGGCTTACCATTCTGATTTCGTTTTAATGGATTTAAACTACATTTGCTCGTGTGTGTGTACCAATATGTAATGGTTTGTACTGTGTTTTAATTATATCCTGCCTTAAGTGCTCATTTAATATTTTAGTTATAATTTTAATAACTTTAACGTATAATTATAATATACATCAGTTTTTAGGTTAAAATGTGACGAAAGACTTTCGGCGTATAGCCTATGAGAAATCATCACACCCTATCCTCTTGTGAGCGTCGAAACAGGCGGCTTCAAGAATGGCCTAGAAGGTCTTATCTTCCGAAAAATGGCGATATAACTATTTTAGATATTTATGTCAGATGTAAAATCCCCAAACCAACGATGGGGAGCATCAAAGTTGGGAGACGTCTCATACATACTGCGATTATTCTCATTAAAGCGTGGTGAAATAGGTGTTTACTCTATACTAAGAGAGAGACCTATGTCCGGGCAAAAATGAAGTGACACATTCTCAGCTACATACCTTGTTCGCAAGAAAAGATGTAATTGATTAAATCGGTTGGATAACTTTGACTCTTATATTATTGTTGTGGGTCGGCTCAACCAGGGAAGGATCATGTTCTTACAGAACACTAGAGTAAAATAGCAGGTTATTGCTGCGGGTGTTTCGTGTGGTTAATGTAGAGAACTGGAGACATTTTTTTACTGGAAACAAAGCAGAAGTTCTCAGGTGTTAATTTTTAATCGAGGATAGATGGTATCTATGGGCCAAAACATCCACTTATCAAGTAGACTATGGGTTCGTTTTTTAAACTTATTCATTGACAATCCAGTTAAAATCTGACGGTGAATATATTAAGAAAATATTTTATAGATACATTTTATTTTGGGCCGATTATTCACTCGTTAAATAAAAGTTATCCGAGAAATTAGATATAACCTAGCTGTATATAAAACTGTTACAATTAAACTATTTTGTTCATAGAACTGTTGGTTTAGGTTTTTTTAATGTTATATTTTATCCTTTGAATATCTTTTATCTGAGAATTGAAATATCGGCCCTTAGAGATACGCACTATATTAAACAATACATATTTCTATGTATTCTTTATATATATCCTTTTTACTTTAATCATTAGTTTCTCGTACTTGAGTTACAAGTTAGTAAACTATATTCAGTCTACTTTCATTGATAATTTACTCCAGAAGAATATCAAATGGAAATAATTGAAATAGTATATTTTTTTCATTAGGTTAAAACATAAGTTCTATTTGTTTTCTGTTATGGTATATAACATCTACTATATACATAATTTAAAAGGACTGTTGATAGCTGTTGAATATATTGTATTATATATTATTGTAAATATTAGTATTTCCAGTTTATAAAAATTTGACTGATGTTATTTATTGTTATGCGTAAAGAATAAAGATCTTTTAAAATGTACATTGTGTTTTCCTGAAAATATAGGCGTAGTTTAACGGCCCACAGGTGGGACTTACCTCTTGTTTTTGATACGGTGATGTAGTGGGTAGATTATAAAGAAAACAAACGTTAAATTGGAGTCAATTTATTTAGGAATACGCTTATTTAATAATAATATTTGCATCAAAATACTGCAATAACGACTAACGGTATCAAGAAAGCTAAGTTTTACAACGCTAATGTCGGCTTCGCGGCGACACGTTTCTCCGTATTAAAATAAATAAAGAAACACGTCGCAGGAGCCGCACAATATCAATACAAAATAATATCTCCATACACTTAGTCGAAAATGCATTCAACTGAGTATAATACAGGTGTGAGTGCGCGCGGCGTGAAACTAAACAAAACTTAAGATATATTTTACACAAATGTTACAAACTAATATATAATAATACATTGTTTAATTTACAGCAATATTTTGTCTTGCTATTTTTGTGCTATTTAACTATTTCATTCTAATTATATAATATGATTTTTTTTTGGTCGGTTTAATATTTTTACGGGTTAAGGTTTAAAGGAACTGCAGTGTAAGTGGGTAGTGAGTCCTTTTATGCCGCAAAGCAACAATACTAGTCAGAGAGCCAGTATGATCATAGGTTGTATGGTACTTCGTCTTAGACCGTAAAGCTATGCTAGTCGGTCATTTTGCAATACTAACGTAGGTGGCTGATTGCTCCGCCGTTTTATGATGTAGATCTTAAACTAAGAACGATATAGAATTGTGTTGTCTTTATCAAGGCTTGTACGCAAGCAGAACAGTAAAAAAACTATTGATTTGATAATGAGGGTATTTGAAAACATCCGAATTTTAACGAAAATTTGAGCGTAAATAAATAATAAAAGATGTATGAAATTAATATAATTTACATCAGGCATAGTTAAATTATTCAAAACTTCGAATAAGTTAATTTTTAAAAGATATCCATATAAAGGTAAATTTTTCTATGCTCCATTTTAATATAAATCTTCATGCCTTACACTTAAAATATAAATTTTGTACGTGCACACTAGCTTCTTACTGAGTTTACTTTTCTTTCTCGCACAACGCTATGTAAGACGGCACGGATTTTCCACGTTCACCGAATGACAGACTACTAGCTCAGCCTTAAGGTGGCGACTGACATGAGCACGTTACAAGTAGAATATTCGGCATGTCAGTACAGCGAGCCGAGCAGTAGGCGAAACCCTTTGACATTACAAGTCAGTTGGTAGCGCGAGCACCGCCGAGAGCGCAGTCGTTGCTCTGCTTGTGTCGCGGTATTTTTGCGTTCGGTAAATTAGAGTCAAGAACAAACAATTGTTGTTCAATTCGCCAGCTTTATTTCTCATTTTGAACAAATTTATTATCCAAATACGCTTTCTTTCCTACTTGAAGGAACAATAACAGAATAAATGGAGCGAACCATACCTCTATGTCCGCCATTTTAACTACATTTGCTGGAGCACAGTCGTGCATATATGCGTCGCGAAGATTCAGCTGTTATGAGCATTCGCTGACAACGAACAAATTCTCGATACGAATATTCACATCGGGCAAATGCTCAAGTCAGTCGCCACCTTAAACTGTGACTTAGCTCACCGACGATTGCAGTCGTCAACTGATGCAGCCCTAAAAGTGACAACTGATGGACTTGAGTATGAGTGAGTATCGCCATCGAGTGACTTTGTATGACAAAACATAGTCTCATTTACGTCCGCCGTCCGCACGGGTGCTGCTCATATTTCTATACAATTTTTGTCGATGATGATACGAAAATGTTAGTGTCAAAAGCTTTTTAATAATGAAAGAAATTCTTATTCTGATTAATTACTTTAACACTTCAAGGAATTCTCTTTTCTACCGACTTCAAAAAGGAGGAGGTACTCAATTCGACTGTATGTGTTTTTTCCCTCACAACTTTATTCTGGGTGAACCGATATCGATGGTTCTTTTTTTATTTGAAAGCTGGTGCTTTTCACGTGGTCCCACATAAATTTGATCAAGGTCTGACAAATAGTTTTTGAGTTATTCTTAATAATTTATATTGAAGTCGGTAGTATAAAATTTTTAATTATAATGTATAACAAAGTTACATTACATATATATTATATTTATGCTGTATACGTTACAAGCCTCATTTCTGAAAGGATTATAACAGCAATTTGTGTCTGTAGCACTAGTTTAGTTAGGACTAAGCGATTACCGTAAATTTCATAGTACAAGCAGATAGCGCGTGATTCGATCCCTTACTACAAATATATTCATTGTAATTTTAAGTGCTTATTTACCACGTAAAGTTACAGCCTATACACGTCCCACGTGCTGGGCACAAGTCTCCTCTTGCTTCTGAGAAGGTTTTAAAGCAAGGAAGTGTCCGCCGCGCTGCCCCCGTGCCTGTTGGCAGACTTCACATGTCCTTGAAATATTTTTTATTTAACTATGTTTTCCTTCACCGCCGAACACGTTGTAAATCAGCACTTAAAATTGGACAACATCAACAAAACGGGCATCGAACTCGGGTTGCTCGCGTACTGTGAAATTTACAGCAACCGCTACGCCCCTGAGCTACCACGTGCTTGGTGGTAAAGACTAACGTCGCGAGTAGCCCAAATTTCTGTGGAATAAATTGTTTCCAGAAAATGTGAAGCGTGCTTACACGCATTGAAGCAGAGCGACCTACTAAATGCTCTTAATAACAATAAACTGATGTAAAATTAAAAACCGATTATTATGGAGAATCGGCGTAAGATATACCACTATCCCGTATCGTACCGAGGATGTACGATTGAGGAAAACTGAAACAGAAGTTGAGCACCAGCATCTCTTGATAACAGATCAAATAATAAAAACAAAACTGCGGTTGCCAACTCGCTTTTCAAACGTGACAACAATGATAAATATTTCCCCTTTATGGCAATGTATGACGGCTCCGTAGTGCAGTGGCTTAGCAATGAGTTGCAGCGCTAAGACTCCGGCACAGAACAAGTATCTGTACATTGGCCTACTTTATTACTTTGTTTCTAAAATACTATTAAAACACTACACACATAAGGGAGCCTATGTTCAGCAGTGAACTTTAGATAGGCTTTACTGATGATTGTTAATAACACAAAAATAAAAAATGTGTTATTGTATGCCAATAAAAATTTTAAAATACAACATACGTATTATAAAAATAAGTTAGTTTCACACCGTGCTATATCTAATAATTATAAATTCATACAAAAATTCGGTGCGCATTATTTGTCAATGCTCACATTCTTGAGGGTTCACTCAATTAATTAATTGTTTACCTATACAAACGGGAGCTCCAGTAACATAAATAAACAAACTGCCCAAGGAGTCTTAATATAAGACTAAAAAAATAAAACTTCGCTGATTTAATTGAAATTAAATTGCTTATTGGTGCGTGTAAGAGAAGGTAACTTTACATAATTAAAATTATTTCCCTGGCCTTAGCTTCTGAAGTCTATACATTCTATAAACAAATTAAGAGTATACACTATACGCACGCACAGCTGGTAAATAGTTACAGTCCTGGTGAGAATGATAAATATATAAAAGTGCTTAGTAAAAATCGATATAACGTTTATTTTTAATTTATCGGTGCATTGGTAGGCTTTTTAACCACTACTACATAAAATTTAAAAAAAAATCTATATAAAACCGACTTTGGAACCTAATTACACAAGTAAATAGAATGATCTTAAATATGGCAGAATGTTAAGATGACACTCCTTGAGTCAGCTTGTCTATGCTTCGAAAGCCTTCCATTCACCGCCCACCAAAATGGCTACTCAACTATTAATAATATTGTTATACATATTTAAATTATACTATGCTATGGCGGTCTGAATTTGGAATGGACAAGCAGTCAGTTTTTTTCCGGTTGAGCGGCAAAGGAAACAAACCTTCAGCCTTACAAGTATTTGTGCAATTAACGAAAACATTTTTCTATTTTACACGAACAATTTCATTCTAAATCCGCAACGACAGTTATACCACCCCTCTATAATCGAAAAATATATTAAAAGTACACATCAAAATGTATTCACACTTACATCTATAAAATGGAAGTTGTATGTAATCTGGCAATGTTTTAATTAGCGCCGAAAAATTTATTAAAAAACGTTGTGCAATTTTACCATCGAGAAAAATTAAAATGTGTACATTAAAAAGTAGTTTAATATAAACCATAAAAATCTTAGAAAATCGTTCGTATTTACACGCCACAGATAAAAACAAATCATATATAAACGAAAATATCAAATTTAGTATCTATTTATATATTTCTTTATTATTATTGCTTTAACCAATTAACCCTTAGACTATGTAATTGCATTCTGGGATAAATAAATTATTATCAAAATAAATAAATGCTTAATCCGTCTAATTACTAATAAAATATTTCCATTTTATAAAGATATTTAGAAATTCTAGCAAGTCGCTATAATATGAAATGGTGTACCCGAATGTTAACGCATAGCAAGTTCCTTTTTACGTATATCTTACTCATACGAGACACTAGTGCTATAACAGACAAAGATTTATTGCGAAAAATTGTCTTCTACATGCGGTTCTCTAAATTGGCTTCTGCGAACAAAACAGCGAACTGTTTTCACATCATAAGTCAGTCAAACTGACCTAAATTGTCGATAATATAATAAAAATATACATAAAAAGTAATATGATATCGTTTTTTATTGTTAAATTAAAGCGTTACTATAAACTAGTTTTAGAAAAATAGTTGAACTGGTATATTAGCATTAGAAACGAGACTCAAGTTCAAATTTATTTTGTGCGTAAACAAATATGGCATGTCCAAATCTCGTTTCTTCAGTTAAATATTCCGTCTTATACATTTCTTTGCAATCGAGCTACACTTCTAAAATCGGGAATATAAATGATTTACTAATAATCAGTCGGAAATATTAAGGACGATATTGCCGCAAATACTATTGTTATTAAAAAAAAACTGCCACAGGTAACAAATGTAAAAAGGCGGCAAAATCTGACATAATATATGATATTTAAAATCCTAAATTAAATTGTTCATGATCTCTGCATTTACACTAAACCAAGCGTCATTCTTTACAATACTATAAGCGGGAAACACTAACCGACAGGTACAGCAAGAATTGCAAACCCTAAGTATACTAGTTACGTCTTCCGGTTTCACGTCTAATTCATAACATTAGGGATGCCAACTATACTCTTTTACAGTATTTTACCTCGAAGTACATTTTTACTGCTGAACAAAAATAAAGTATGACAAAATACTGTTTTATCGCCTATCGAACTACATATGTACTATCTATGTATGTTCTAAAACACAAATTCCTCTCGTAAATACTGTTGACTTTCAGCCGATTTATATAAACTGTAATTTGTCAGAAAATAGTTGGCAGCCCTACATACCGTATCCAAACGGACACAAGTGTCAACCAATCACATAGTTGGTGAAGTGAGAGCGGTTGCATTATGTGTCGGGGTGTGGGGGTGTGGGCGGGGGCGGGGGTTGTAGCGGGGTGGGGGGCGGGGAGCGCGGTCAGCTGTGCGGCAGCAGGTGCTCGGGCACGGGCACGGCGCGCAGCCGCGGGGGGATTTTCTTTTGCGGGCACAGCGTCTGCGGAACATAGCCTGTTTATAATACCAGTCACAATATCCACTAACCCATATCCATATATTCCGGTTCGGTGTCGTAAGAGGCGACAGAGGGAAACTAATACAGGAACTTGGCAGCAACATCCATCTTATCGCAACTCAAAATTATAAAAAACTGCGGTTGCCAACCACCAAGCATGATAAGTATGGCAAAATCAACTCTGTAAGGCAATCTATGGGGGAAGCCTATGTTCAGGAGTAGACTTTTATAGGTTATAATGGATGAAATAATATCGCAATCGAAACCAAGTGTTAAAGTCCAAACTATTGCATTTTGAATTCAGGTGTAGTACGATTATCCTCGAGTCTGATATTGTGCCCAAACTAAACTTTTCTAGAAGACTATTCAGACTATCTGCTAATAAAAACTCGGCGTTAGCTGGCATACTTAACCATGTTACTTAGGAAGACTAATCCATAAATAGTACGTTGGGCAAACGGGGTGCATTGGTGTTATCAACATATATTCTGAGTTGGAATCCAAGAGACACATTCCTCAATTTGTCAAAGCACTACTAAAAAAAAACAAAGAGACGCGGAGACAATAAATTTTGTAGGATTAAGTGCCTTTTACCAACTACGCGTACGGCTACAAAAACAGACTAAACTATATGATATAATTAATAACTTAAACAAGTATGATTTAGTAATTTATTAATTATGGTATCAACTGCTCTATTACGAGTATGTAATGTAATTTTGTCCTAAAACAACTCTTTTAAATATAAAAACAACTCAACTCACCCGCCTCGCGAACATAAAACAACCCGTGTCCTCCTCCTGAGTGTTGGTGGTCGCCACCAGTTGTAAGTCTGGGGTTCGACACTCCTTGCCGTCTTCACCTGAGACAATAATTTTTTTAAGTTATTCTATGAGCCATAAGAATTATATCGTGACTAGAGCCAGGCTGCAGTCGTATTATGGTTATAGCACAAATGGGTCGGCTCGACCGGGGAAGAACCACGCTAACACAGAATAACAGCCTAAAATAGCAGCTTACGGCTTCTGTTACCTATACGGTAAGTGTAGAGAGCTGAGACCTTATAATAGGAAACAAGGCATTCCATCTTAGTCCTCAGAGGAAACATCGCATTCTGCATTTTGATTCTTAATCGAGAAGATATTGATATCAATAGATATTGATGTCTATGGGCCACAGCATCCAAACAACCACCATCAAGTGGACTGTGTGCTCATTTATCACTTTCATTTAACAAGCATAAGGGTGACAAACCATTATATAACCATTGTACTTCGATGATGTCTACCATACTCATAGAGAGAACAAAAAAAAAAACTGGGTTATATTAATAACATTTAAATATAAAAATTTAAAATATATGATGAAATCGAAATGCCTTTATGAAAAAAAATCTGAAAGTTTGTTAGGGTGTTATTCAAACCGAATGGCTAAATTGAAGTCGTGAAAACGATAGAATACATTAATTTTTATTTAAAGACCAACTTAATTAATTTAAGTATTAGTTACTTTAACTACATTCTTTTCATCATCATCATTACAGTCTTTCACAAGTTCACTGCTGAACATAGGCCTCCCCCAAAGAACGCCACAATGGTCGCTCCTGAGCCACCTGCATCCATCGACTTCCAACATATATTACCAGGTCGTCACTCCATCTAGTAGCCTTACACTTCGCCTACCGGTACGAGGCTGCCCCTCGATAACCTTTTTTCCCTCATCGGTTGTCGGTTCATTATTTGTTTACCGACATAAATATAGCTATAATTTTAATCTCTTCAATATAAGAATTGAACAATACATTAATTTCTTATACTCGTATAATAAAATACACAAATACTGCTGTATATTGGACTCAAACAAACATTTATAATATTCATATACAATGTTTTCGAAATATTCAGGCACAATAAATATAAATATATAGGATTCCAAGCAGATGGCAGCAGCCATCCATCTTCTCTAATGAAATTAAGATGTTTTTTAATTTCAATAGATGGGTGCTGCCATCTGCTTGGGATCCTATAATTAATAAAATTAAACAGAAAGAGAGAGAAATTCATAGAAATTCCTAGCATAGCCCTCTCCATAGCTCGCTGAGCGACCTTGAGCTTTCTTATACGGCCAGCAGTGATGGACTACGCTTCAGATCCATAAGTCATCACTGGAAACACGCACAGGTTGTAGAATCTCGTTTTCAAGTTTTGAGGTATTCCTGATTAGAAGATTTGTCGTAATTTCCCGAACGCTGCCCAGCCTTTGAATTCGTGGATTGAAGTTGGATTTACCTAGTCGGACTATTTGTCCCAGGTAAACATACTCGTCAACAACTTCGAGCTTATTGCTCCCAACAACTACTGGCATAGGTGTGACATGGACGTTGCACACGATCTTTGTTTTGTCCATGTTCATCTTAAGACCTATCCGTTGGGAGGAACTATTGAGGTCATCGAGCATAATGCTTAGGTCGTCCAGCGATTCTGCAATAAAAACTATATAGACGTCAAAAAAAAAGTCGCCATTGATGTTAATACGTATTCTTTCCAGTCTCCAGTAGCTTGAAAACGTCTTCCAATGCAGCGGTGAAGTGTCGTTGATATAACGTTACCCTGTCTTACACCTCTCTGCAGTTCGATAGGTTTCGTACTCTGGTTCTGTACTCGGATAGCCATCGTAGCCCTACTGTACAAACACGTCAGCAATTCGATATACCGACAATCAACTTGGCACTGCTGAAGGGACTGCAGCACTCCTCAAATTTCGACGGAATCAAAGGCTTTCTCATAGTCCACATACGCAAGGCAAAGTAGCAGAATGTACCCCTCGGTCTTCTGTACAACTTGCCGAAGGCTATGTATGTTGTCTATGGTACTAAAGCCTTTTCGGAAACCGGCTAGTTCGGGAAACTGGAGGTTGTCGAGACTGCGTGCGAGACGATTCGCAGTGACTCTCGAAAACAGCACGTAGACGCGGCTCAGACGGGAAATCGATCTGTAGTTCTTCAAAGGAGCGTTGTCGCCTTTCTTGAAGAACAAGACCACCGCACTCCTGCTTCGGAGTAGTCTTATAATGAATTAAAGAGCTTCTGAAGAACTTTAAGCATTTCTCCTTGCCGTTTTTGACGTGCTGGAGAGCCATTCTAATTTCGCTCAGACTGACATCCGAGATATCATCGAAATAGTGTCGCTACATTATTTTATATTTCTTTAAATATCTGAAATCCCAAGTCAATACTTAGTAATAATGCCGGTTACTCACCTCTGGCGAAGACGTTGAGCTCGGTGAAACAGCCGGTCTCGATCATCTCGCTCTGCCACGGGATGCTGACGCTGCCCGTGTTGAACTTGCCGTAGAACGTGTCATCTGCCGCGTCCAAGTTCACACCCTTCACCGTCGAAAACTGTTCGATGTCCAGGACATCCTTTGCGTATACCGCATGCGGCTGTACAAACAGTAAACAGATGTCATTTACTTTAATGTGATTACTTCAATCGTAGTTCGATAATGGTGATTTGAGTAAAATTGCGGTTGGCGACCCGCATACCAAGCGTAGCGACTATGGCAAGATTCCCCCCTATAAGGCATACGGGAGAGCCCTGTGTTTGGCAATGGTCTTTTGATAAGTCGTAATGATGCTACGATTTATTGGAGAATAGCTAACTCGCATCCGAGATAGCTAATCCGTTTTACCAAGAATCGTGTTTTACGGTAAATCCGTCCAATTTTTAAGGTCTAAGTTAAAAAATGATAATTTAAGCAGTGCGTTAATTCCTGTCTTTCGTTGTGAAAAGGAAAAAAAGCCAGTAAAATTAGATGCAGCGAGGCATGGCATCGTAATCCATAGGGACTATCGAATTAAGTAATCGTCTTTGTGTGTTGTTGGCTTGAAGTTGGTTGCAGGTTTCTATGAGCATACACTTACTAGCAGGTGGATTGTTTGCTTTGCTTGTTACTTTACTATACAACTATTTACTATCAGGAGGACTGTGGGCTTGTTTGTTAAACCTATGCTATAAAAAAAAACTCAAATTTACAAAACACAATATAATAATAAAAACATATATGCTGTTTAAACTCAGCGTTAAGTAACTTGTGAGAGACTGTGCATAAAAGAGACTGTGAAGAAGCGGTGTGCTTTGACGCGCACAGCGCGCGCGGAGTGCGCGAGTGAGACGGAGCGAGTGGCGGAGTGAGAGGGAGCGAGTGGTGCAGACGGTGCGGGACGTACGTCGGGCACGAAGGGCGCGTCGAGCAGGCCGGCCTCGAGGCGCGCCCAGTTGAGGCGCGCGAAGAAGCGGTGCGCCTTGACGCGCGCGGCGCCGCGCCGGCCCGCGCCGCCGCCGAGGCGCGCGTCGTGCCGCTTGGCCAGCAGCGCCGCGCGGAGTGCGCGAGTGAGACGGAGCGAGTGGCGGAGTGAGAGGGAGCGAGTGGTGCAGACGGTGCGGGACGTACGTCGGGCACGAAGGGCGCGTCGAGCAGGCCGGCCTCGAGGCGCGCCCAGTTGAGGCGCGCGAAGAAGCGGTGCGCCTTGACGCGCGCGGCGCCGCGCCGGCCCGCGCCGCCGCCGAGGCGCGCGTCGTGCCGCTTGGCCAGCAGCGCCGCGCGGAGTGCGCGAGTGAGACGGAGCGAGTGGCGGAGTGAGAGGGAGCGAGTGGTGCAGACGGTGCGGGACGTACGTCGGGCACGAAGGGCGCGTCGAGCAGGCCGGCCTCGAGGCGCGCCCAGTTGAGGCGCGCGAAGAAGCGGTGCGCCTTGACGCGCGCGGCGCCGCGCCGGCCCGCGCCGCCGCCGAGGCGCGCGTCGTGCCGCTTGGCCAGCAGCGCCGCGCGGAGTGCGCGAGTGAGACGGAGCGAGTGGCGGAGTGAGAGGGAGCGAGTGGTGCAGACGGTGCGGGACGTACGTCGGGCACGAAGGGCGCGTCGAGCAGGCCGGCCTCGAGGCGCGCCCAGTTGAGGCGCGCGAAGAAGCGGTGCGCCTTGACGCGCGCGGCGCCGCGCCGGCCCGCGCCGCCGCCGAGGCGCGCGTCGTGCCGCTTGGCCAGCAGCGCCGCGCGGAGTGCGCGAGTGAGACGGAGCGAGTGGCGGAGTGAGAGGGAGCGAGTGGTGCAGACGGTGCGGGACGTACGTCGGGCACGAAGGGCGCGTCGAGCAGGCCGGCCTCGAGGCGCGCCCAGTTGAGGCGCGCGAAGAAGCGGTGCGCCTTGACGCGCGCGGCGCCGCGCCGGCCCGCGCCGCCGCCGAGGCGCGCGTCGTGCCGCTTGGCCAGCAGCGCCGCGCGGAGTGCGCGAGTGAGACGGAGCGAGTGGCGGAGTGAGAGGGAGCGAGTGGTGCAGACGGTGCGGGACGTACGTCGGGCACGAAGGGCGCGTCGAGCAGGCCGGCCTCGAGGCGCGCCCAGTTGAGGCGCGCGAAGAAGCGGTGCGCCTTGACGCGCGCGGCGCCGCGCCGGCCCGCGCCGCCGCCGAGGCGCGCGTCGTGCCGCTTGGCCAGCAGCGCCGCGCGGAGTGCGCGAGTGAGACGGAGCGAGTGGCGGAGTGAGAGGGAGCGAGTGGTGCAGACGGTGCGGGACGTACGTCGGGCACGAAGGGCGCGTCGAGCAGGCCGGCCTCGAGGCGCGCCCAGTTGAGGCGCGCGAAGAAGCGGTGCGCCTTGACGCGCGCGGCGCCGCGCCGGCCCGCGCCGCCGCCGAGGCGCGCGTCGTGCCGCTTGGCCAGCAGCGCCGCGCGGAGTGCGCGAGTGAGACGGAGCGAGTGGCGGAGTGAGAGGGAGCGAGTGGTGCAGACGGTGCGGGACGTACGTCGGGCACGAAGGGCGCGTCGAGCAGGCCGGCCTCGAGGCGCGCCCAGTTGAGGCGCGCGAAGAAGCGGTGCGCCTTGACGCGCGCGGCGCCGCGCCGGCCCGCGCCGCCGCCGAGGCGCGCGTCGTGCCGCTTGGCCAGCAGCGCCGCGCGGAGTGCGCGAGTGAGACGGAGCGAGTGGCGGAGTGAGAGGGAGCGAGTGGTGCAGACGGTGCGGGACGTACGTCGGGCACGAAGGGCGCGTCGAGCAGGCCGGCCTCGAGGCGCGCCCAGTTGAGGCGCGCGAAGAAGCGGTGCGCCTTGACGCGCGCGGCGCCGCGCCGGCCCGCGCCGCCGCCGAGGCGCGCGTCGTGCCGCTTGGCCAGCAGCGCCGCGCGGAGTGCGCGAGTGAGACGGAGCGAGTGGCGGAGTGAGAGGGAGCGAGTGGTGCAGACGGTGCGGGACGTACGTCGGGCACGAAGGGCGCGTCGAGCAGGCCGGCCTCGAGGCGCGCCCAGTTGAGGCGCGCGAAGAAGCGGTGCGCCTTGACGCGCGCGGCGCCGCGCCGGCCCGCGCCGCCGCCGAGGCGCGCGTCGTGCCGCTTGGCCAGCAGCGCCGCGCACAGCGCGCGCGCGCACTCGCTGAACTTGCTCGAGTACTTTTCCTGCTCGTGCTGCAACAACAACCTCCACTTCAACAATCAGGATGTTGCTGCGTCGTGAACACAGCCTTGTGTTTACGTGAATAACCATAAAACCTTAAGATGGCGGCACTCCCCCGAATGCTTTCTTTTGGTACTAAATGATACTGTGTTACATTTTAAGCAATGAAAATTTACGTAGTGCATAAAGATTATACGAAAGTGGTTTTCCTCAAGATTTCCTGCACAATATCGACCCAATCGCACAACAATTTTTGCAGCTAATCGAAGACTTTTTACCTTTGAACAGTTCATCACTTCGTCACATGAAAATGTTCAAGGTAGTCAATAGCCTGGCTATCGAAACCGTGGTAACAGAGTTTTTCGAGAGAAATCCCCGCACAAGCGCCAATGATGCAGCTCGAGAATTTAGAGTTAGCCAGTACTACGTGTAGAAACTACTGAATTCCTCTGGATATCACCCATTTCCTTACCAACGTATGCATTCACTGAATAATAACGATGGTCAACTTCGAAAACCGTTTTTGGAATGGTTAGTGTTATTTTAAGTGAATGCATATTTAAGTTGTAAATAGTTAATAGTTCATCATTCATCATTATCATTTAAGCCCTTCACAAGTTCACTGCAGAACATAGGCCTCCCCCAACGAATGGCCCAAAACACGGTCCTGAGCCACCTGCATCCATCGACAACCTGCATGTCTTACCAAGTCGGCACTCCATCTAGTGGGAGGTCACCCTACACTTCCTCTACCGGTACGAGGCTGCCACTCGAGAACCTTTCTTCCCCATCGGTTGTCGGTTCTTCGAGCTATATGATCGACCCATTGCCACTTCAGCATACTATTTCTTTGGGTTATGTCGGTTACTCTGGTTGTACCGCGGATATTCTCGTTTTTAAGTCTATCACGCAGAGAAACGCCGAGCATAGCCCTCTCCATAGCTCGCTGAGCGACCTTGAGCGTCCTGAAGGACTACGTCTCAAATCCATAAGTCATCACTGCCAACACGCACTGGTTGTATAATCTCGTTTTCAGGTTTTGAGGTATGCCTGACGAGAAGATGTGTAGTATTTCCCGGAACGCTTCCCAGCCGAGTTTAATCTGTCGATTGACCTCTCGGTCGAAGTTGGACTTACCTAGTCGGACTATTTGTCCCAGGTAAACATACTCGTCAACAACTTCGAGCTTAGTGCCGCCAACAACTACCGGCATAGGTATGACATGGACATTAAACATGATCTTTGTTTTGTCCATGTTCATCTTAAGACCTATCCGTTGAGAGACACTATTGAGGTCTTTGAGTATAGTGCTCAGATCCTCCAGCGATTCTGCCATAAGGTCTATATCGTCGGCAAATCGAAGGTTGGTGTTAATACCGTACTCGCCATTAATGTTACTACCGTATCCGTTCCAGTCCAGTAGCTTGAAAACGTCTTCCAATGCAGCGGTGAAGAGTTTCGGAGATATAACGTCATCCTGTCTTACACCTCTCTGCAGGGATTGGATAGAATTCGTACCCTGATTCTGTACTCGGATAGCCATCGTAGCCCTACTGTATAAACACTTCAGCACTTCGATATACCGACAGTCAACTTGGCATCGCTGAAGGGACTGCAGCACCGCCCAAATTTCGACGAAATCAAAGGCTTTCTCATAGTCCACATACGCCAGACATAGTGGCAAATTGTACTCCTCGGACTTCTGTACAATTTGCCGAAGGGTATGTATGTGGTCTATGGTGCTAAAGCCTTTTCGGAAACCGGCTTGTTCGGGAGGCTGGCAGTCGTCAAGTCTGCGCGCGAGACGATTCGTAATGACTCTCGAAAACAGTCTGTAGTTCTTCAAGAGAGCGTGTCGCCTTTCTTGAAGAACAAGACCACCGCACTTCTGCTCTTGCGGAGTAGTGCCACCATGGAGGACGGAATTAAAAAGCTTCTGAAGGACTTTAAGTACCGGTTTTCCACCGCTTTCAGAAGCTCCGCTGTAATTCCATCCTCGTCCGGGGACTTGCCCTTTTTAAGGTGCTGGTGAACCATTCTAATCTCGCTCAGTGACGTCCGGGATATCACCGCAATAGTGTCGGATAAGTCTTGCTCTTGGATCGTTACTCGCACTTGCATGTGGCTCCAACGATGATGTGTACAGCTGCCCATAGAACCTCTCAATTTCACTCAAAATATCAGGTGTCCCGGAAACGATGCTGCCACATTCGGTCTTCAGCTTCGACAGTTGGCTAAAGACTATGGAGTCTTGGTACTGCTCGATCGCATCTTCAATATGAGTTGTATTAAAGTTGCACATGTCCCGCTGTATGCATATGGAAATCTGTCTGTTCAGTTGCCTGTATGCTGTCATATCTGCTGAAGACTGCAGCTTCATTTCACGTCTAAAAGCCATGATATTAAGAGTGTGATCGTAGAGTTTTTGTGTTCTTCTGCGACGTGTCTTGCAAACTTATTTCCGACCGTATGGACAGTTTCACAGTTGCAGTCCACTACACTGCAGTCTTCTGGGCACTTATAAGGATTGTGTAACTCGAGATGAAAGTTTTCGAGGCTTTGGATTAGAGTACTAGTGGGACGGAGCGTTGACTTCATTAGACGTTACCCGTCCAACTTAACGTTTAGGTTCAGTGTGCCTCACACCATTCGGTGATCCCTGCCAATTTTCATACTCAGGATCACTGGGACATCACTGAACAGTTGCAGTCTAGACGTCATCTCATTTCATCTCATTTCTGTAGGGACGTCACCTCTTCTGGAGAAAGAGTTCATCATAACGAGTCCCTCTTTCTTAATGAAGTCGGTCAGCTGCTCGTCGCTTGGGATCCATTGCCCTATTCCGAATTTCCCTACTTTCAGCTCACCGTTCTCTCTTATGCCTAGTTTTGCGTTGAAGTCTCCCATTAACACCGTATAGTGGGTTTTGTAGGTAAGCATGGTTCTAGAGATAACCTCATACATTTTCTCTACCTCATCATCGGGATGTGCCGAGGTTAGTGTGTAAACCTATATGACCTTCAACTAATACCGTTTGGTGATTCTGAATATAGGGTACGCAACCCTCGTCAACACACTCCCACTCTTTAGAACGTGGTTAACGAGAGACTTGTGAACGATAAATCCGACACAATTTTTTACGTGGTAGAGCCATGCTGCAGCTATATTAGTAGTATAGTTGTAGCACGAATGGGTCGGCTCCACCGGGGAAGGACCACGCTCTCACAGAAAACCAGCGTAAAATAGCAGCTTAACGCTGCTGTGTTTCTTATGGTGAGTGTAGAGAACCGGAGACCCTTTTTACTGGCAAAGAGGCATTCCATCTTAGTCCTCACGGGTGACAACGCATCTACATCTTGAGTCTTTATTGATGATAGATGTAGATGTCTATGGGTCACAGTAACCACTTACCATCAGGTGGACTGTGTGCTCGTTTGTCACCCTATCCTATAAAAAAATCCTTGGGATATGGTCGCCCTCCCGATGATAGAACTAGTTGCCGAATTCAAGAATTACCGTTTCCTCTCCCTCTCTTCAGAACTCAGATAATCCTATAATATCCCAGCGCAATTTATCTCTTCTTCCAGCTTCAGGATCTTCTCTTGAGTCCTCAGGGTGCGTGCGTTGAATGTTGCAGGTCGAGTCGTCTTAGGTGGCATCTGATCCTCCACCGAATATTCTTGCCATAGACACGCTGGGTGAAAGGGTTGGCAACCGCAGTTTCTTATTCTAATTTTTCTGTTATCGGAAGGATGCTGCTGCCCATTTACAGCCTCAGATTCCCTCTGTAGCCTCTTACGACACCAACGGGAAGACATGGGGTAGTGGATATTCTTACACTACACGGTTAGTGATTCTGTCTGATGTTAGAAGACAATGACGTCAGTCGTAAAATAATCATACTCTTGCTGAACTTTTTAACACCAATTATAGCCTGTATTTTAAAATTTTCCGTATTCTCATCTACATTCCCTTCTCAATAGAAGAATGCCCAAATCACATCATAACCCAAAAAAAGCAAATCCTTCAAGTTTTCCATTATCGTCTTATTTCAATTTTTCTTTTTCTTTCCAAAGTCTTAGAACGCCTTGTTCAAAAACAAATTATTTCCTTTTATTTAAGAAATAGCATCCTCAATCCTCTCCAATCTATAAATTTAAATCTTCAATAGAACGACTATTTATTTTTTATTATTACGGCGTTATTAAAAGTCACGGACAACATTCGCCACGGTATGTAAAATCATCAAATCACAGTATTGGTGTTGCTGGATTTCAGCAATGTCTTCAATACTGTTGATCATGAGATCCTAGGGATACTGTGTTCTCTTAAGATATCTCCAACTGCAATTTCCTGGTTTCATAGTTATTTGTAGGTGGAGAATATGTGACAGACATAAAGGAGTATCTTCCATTGGGATCCAATAGTTATTAACTAAAACACCCCAATTTATATTTTTAGAAATATTCAAAATAAGCACTAAGATCAAAAATAGATAATGGAATTCAAGAACACCGCGACCAGGCCTTTATTATTTATCTTTATGTACCCCCCGTCAGATCAAAGTTAGCAATAACCTTGCTATCTCCAACCAAAAAAAAAACACGCACTTAAAACATACAAGTGTATCTGCTTCTTGTCAAAAAAGCTTGTCTTCGGTGGGCAACAGTTTCTAATATAAATAGTTAATGTCTCCAATTTATCAATAGTACCAAGTGTTCTCCTATATACAAAGTGCCTTTGAAGTCTTTTTGCGCGACTAGTACGTACTATACTCAGAAACAAAATTAAAGGGTACAGTGTGGTGTTCCACAAGGGCCAACGGTGGGTTCCTTACTATAAAACATCGCTGACGGAACGCTTAATTATCATTACAGCTCATCAAAAGTCTATTGCTGAACATAGGCCTGCCCTCAAGGCATGCCACAAAGCACATCTTTGAGCCACCTGCATGTCTCTTTACTTCGCTGAACGGTACGAAGTTGACACTCGCGAACCTTTCTTCGTCGTCGGTTTCATTACCTTGTCGGTTCTTCAAGCTATATAATCAGCTCATTGCCACTTAAGCTTAAAAAACTCTGCTAAAAGATTAACGCAGAGTGGTGGCGACATAAGAGCACTCATCACCCCAAACCGTCCTGTGGGAGACGTAGGAGACGTAGGAGACGACTATGGCACTCGACAGAAAGATTTGATAGCCCCTGTTGGCATAACCATCTAGTACGAGGGCGACACTGAAAGTTTTTAAAACTGGAAAATTTTGAAAATGGAACTCTTTGCCAATATTATTGTGTATGTATTTCAGTATGAATTTAACGCGAGAAAATTTTTGTACAATGATTTTTTTATGACTTTCGATGTCATTTAAGTCAACAAAAAAGTTATGATAGACTTCGATTGGCTTTTCACGATGAAGCCCCATCTTGTGCCACTGTTTAGAACTGGTTTAATGAGTTTAAACGTGGTCGCACTTATCTCACCGACGATCTGCGTGAGGGACGGCCTTCTACGGCGTCGACTGAAGATAACATCAGTGTTGTGTGGCGTATGATAGAGACTGACAAAAGAGTGACTTATCAGCAGATTCGGACAAGCTTAGGCATCGGTATGAGTCAAGTGCACAAAATCCTTCATGAATATTTAGCGGTCAGGAAGCTTTGTGCCTGGTGGATACCTCATAATTTGTCAGAAGGCCAAAAACTCCGTCGTGTTGATTGGTATCGTGAAATTATTCAAATATTTAACGGAGGTGATTCAAATGATGTGTTCGACATACTTACGGGTGTCAAAAGCTGGATTTCTTGTGTTTTCTTTCGAGGAGTTGCAACTAAAGTGAAGAGAGGTCGAAGCGTGGGAAAAAATATGGTGGCCTCGTGCTTCGGAAGGACAGGTCATTATGCAGCAATTGTTTTAGAGGATCGAAAAACAGGTACTGCAGAGTGGTACACTAACAATTGTTTGCCACTTGTCTTGGAAAAAGTTCGGGCGCAACGACCTCCCAATAGGATCCTCCTTCGCCACGACAACGCCTCGTCACACACCGCCAATCAAACAATCGACTACTTGGCGACGTCAGACGTGGAATTACTGGATCACCCGCCCTATAGCCCCGACCCCGCACCTTGCTATTTTTATTTATTTCCGCAAATAAAAGAAAAACTTCGAGGAAAATGTTCTACGGACGCCGAGGAAGCAGTGGCTGCGTTTCAAAATGCCGTCGAAGGGACCCCTAAGGACGAGTGGGCAAAGTGCTTTTCTCGGTGGTTCCATTGGATGCAGCGATGTATTGAGGTAAATGGACACTATTTTGAAACGATATAATAAAATTAATAACTTGCTTGTTTGTTCAGTTTTTGATTTTCTAAGAACTTTCAGTGTCGCCCTCTTATATACTAGAAGATGTAATATACCAAAACCAGCGACGAGGGATACGAGAATAAAACTTTTTGATGATCAAAATATATTCTAAGCTATGTCATCTCAATGTCAACTCTTACAACACCGACGGGAAGAAATAGAATGATGGTTCTTTTATATCGTCAATACCCGGAAAAAGGGTTAAAGTTACATTCTCTTAAAAGTTTCATGCTGGGCATAAGCCTCCTCTTATCTATAATATAAAAATGAATCGCTGAATGTGTTGCTAAGCGCAAATCTCGGGAGCAGCTGAACTGATTTCGTTAATTATTTTTTTATAATATTCCTTGAAGTACGAAGATGGTTTTTACGGAGAGAAAAATTAAAAAAATTGCCTGAAAAGTGTAAAAACAACACTTTTCTATATTCCCATACAAAATATTCGTAATAATACTTAAAAGTCAATTTGAACTTTAATACCATACCATAAAGTTTAAGTGTTAGTGGAGGGGTTCCGAGAAGGCAAAACAATTTAGTGACATAATATATGTCAATAGTGTTTTATAATTTTTATTTTTTGACATAATGTAATTGTTGACTTATTAACTTTATTTTTCTTTTTTATCTTAGTAGGTGACCCGGTGTCCCGAATAGCAGAATAAATATTAAAAAAATAATTAAAAAATCGACTGTTGGGCGGTACGAAGTTCGCCGGGTCAGCTAGTTTCTAATAGTTTTAGAACAAGAAAGTGTCTGCCGCGTGGTCCCAATGCGTGTTCACGAGTCTTCGAAATATTTTTTAATTTCTCAAAATAACAAGTTTCTTTAATATGTTTTCCTTCACAGCCAAGCACGTGGTAAATCAGTACAAAATTGCAATTAATAATTTTATTGTTGCCGGCATGACAAAGTTATAATTGTTAATAATTTTCCAGGTGGTTTGCTTCCACACTCACCTTCACTCTCCTGTCCACCTCCTCCCGCTTCACCTTCTCCTTCCGCGCTCGAAAAGGCGCCCGTCCCTCTATCATTTCATACACCAAACACCCAAACGAAAACCAGTCCGGGCTGAATGTGTAGCGTTCATTGTCTATCACCTGAAAAATAAACGTATCTTTTAAATGGTTGATTTTTTTTTAAATGATTTTTATATTTACGCGAATACCACACATTAAATGAAACTATATTTACGGATTTTATCGCGTTTAATTCAAACTTTATAAATCAGACAACTCACTCTCTCCGTAACCTGTGGGTGCTGGTGTAAAGCGCCCGAATCGTAGGAAAATAAAAAGTTTAAATTGAACGTGATAAAATTCGTAAAATTAATCTCATTTTATTTTTCAAAGAGTAATTTCGGATACAGCAACATAAACTGCTGCCGTCACCTTTTTCGGTAATTTAGGTGTGTCGTAAAGATATGGCTATACCGCCAGTTATCGGAAGATCTTTTTGACATTTCTCACAGTCGCTTCTCAGGATTTCTAAGGGATGAAATTGGTTTATAGAGTGTCCCACGATGGCCACCGTACTGTCAAAATTAAAACATCCTTGGTTAAACGTTACAATGAAAGTCATCACGACTTTTTCTGCCACCCCATTATGAAATGAGGTGTATTTGACAGATTTCAAGGCGAGGGAGGTTCATTTATTAGAAAAATATAGAGACTAAGGTTTGTTTCTGAAATATTAGTTATATTTTATATTAATTAGATTAGAAATTGATAAACCAAACTACGGATGTTCTTAAAAGTAGAAGAATAGAAAATAAACAACATAGTATCGTAGCATTGTGTTTTGTATTTATTCACTCTAGAATTTTTAATCTTTAATGTGATTTATTGAAAACGCAATTTCTCAATTATATTGACATTGTGTAATAAATAACTTGACTACACTTCCAACTAGCGACAACTAGTGAGCGCAAAATTATTAGCCTTCATTGCGACTAGTGATGGGGAAGAAAGGTTCTAGAGTGGCAGCTTCGTACCGATAGACGAAGTGTAGGGTCTTCCTCACTAGATTTTTTGCTTTTTTTTTTTAATGTTACCCCCACATTAGGATTTTCTCCTGTGTCGTGGAGGCAGTTTACAAACATAAATTGCACAAGGACAAACATCCAGACCCGGAACAATTATTTGTAACAATGTTCAGCAGTGGGTTTGTGAAGCGCTGTGATGGTGACGATGGTGACGATGTGCGGTGCAGTGACCTCGGGCGCCATGTAGCCGACGGTGCCGACGCGGCCGCGCACGCTGCCGCCGTCGGGCACGTCCACCGCCAGCCCCAGGTCCGAGATGCGCACGTGCCCCGCGTCGTCCAGCAAAATGTTTTCTGGCTTACAGTCTCTACAATCAAAATACAAACAATTAAACTAATTACTTGTCAGTCACCGCGACAAACCTACGACTTATAACTATACACCGCTGGACTGGTTAAAACTTCACTGTAAATCAGGTATACTATATTGACCAATGTAAAATATATTAAACAGAAATTTATTTACAAAACTAAATTAAATTTTAAGAAAATATACTGATAAAATAAAAAAAATACCTAACATGAAGGTTTTGGCAATAACTTCATAGTATATTGTTGTTGAAACGTGTTAATTAACCATGTAGTGGGGGTGTAAAAATTTCCACTACACCATATCCCATAGATGTCCTAAGAGGCGACAGAGGGAATCTAAAACAAGAGATGGGCAACAACATCTTCCTAATAACAACTTAAACATGCGTGAGTGTCGTGGAACTCTCAGTTGGAACGAAGTTCCTTTCGTAATATTTTATAACTGATAAACGTATTATATTATTAATTAACAAATACAAATATAAATGAATTACTAGCGTCTATTAAAATACATCTAATAAAATGAAGCGTCATTTAAAATAATATTTCTTTCATGGCACGATAAGAAACAGTGCGAGGGAAATAAATATTATTTCATCTCGATCGCACTATAGAAAAGCGATCGTAACAGAAAAATCTTACATTTTTTTCTCGCCTAACCCCTACCTGGAAAATTACCGTGCGATAAGCATTTTGATACGTAATAGAACCATGCTGCAGCTATATAAGTAGTATAATTGTAGCACGAATAATACTACCAACATAAAATAGCAGCTTAATGCTACTATGTTTCGTATAGTGAGTCTAGAAAACCGGATACCCTTTTTACTGGAAAAGAGGCATTCCATCTTAATCCCCACAGGTGACAACACATCTATATTTTGATTCTTTAATGAGGATAGATGTAGATGTCAATGAATCACAACAACCGCTTGCCATCGGATTGACTGTGTGCTCGTTTGTCACCTTATCCTATAACGAAAATCTTCATTCCGAAAACTGCGGTTGCTAACACACTTGCCAAACGTGGCAATTATGGTAAAATCTCCGTATTACCCTAATATAAGGGAGGCCTATGTTCAACAGTGGACTTTTACAGGCTATAATGGAAGGAATAGATTTATCGTTAAAAATGATTTCAAATGAATTTTGACACGTACAAGTGGTGCGATTTTGTGTATTGCATGTAAACTGTTAATGGAAATGATAAAACAAGAGCTTTTAAAACACAACATCTCCTATAACATTATCTGCATCTTCTATCTTCCATAAGAAACTAAAAAAGATAAGAACAAAGAATATTTTATAAAATTTGCAGGCGGGAACTTGACCACCAGCGGATTGCTGCTCCTGTTTTATCATTTAAATAATGAAGGTGGATTTAAATACGTAAAAGTGGTGCGAACTTCTGTGTTAATTGTTTTCGTAGGTACGTAAACTGTAAGTAGAAACGACGTAAGTATATTAATCTCAGATGTTATCCGCTTAGAGGCCTTGACATATACAGACTATCAAGTCTCTGGCTCAAGCTGTCGTCAAAATCTCCCAAGAACTTCTTAATTCACGCATCAGCATAAAGTGAAGAATTTTATGAACTCATCAGACTAGGCTGTATGGTCTAAGACATTTGCCTGCTTTGAACTGCTAATTGTAACAACAATTATCTTAAAAAGTAAACAAGTATACATACAGATCGTACAAACAAATCGTAATCGTAAGCATGTATATTATTAATTAATCTTTCACTGTAAGCAACGCTTGCCAATTGGTTCCAAAAAAATTCGGCTGACACATTACACATTTACTTGTTGATACAAGTAATACACAGCACACAACAGCATGTGCAGTAATGTTATAAAAATATTTGTGTTTTTTTTTAAACATTTCATACGGAAAATGCCATAAAAATTCACATATCAATATTAAAAAAAAAAACAAGAAAACGAGCGAGCAGACATGATATGCTTGGTCTCACTACATTTACGATACACAGCGATTTGTGGAATCTTTTGCCACCATATAACATGAAATGTTGATATAATAATTATTATCTGTATGAAATTACCTGTAAACTATGCCCATTTTGTGCAAATGTTCCAGGCCGCAGGCAACTTGCGCCGCGTAGAACCGCGACCGTTCCAAACCGAGACCGGTGTCCGCGCCGCACATGTTGTAAATGTGGAACTTTAGGTCCCCACCTGCATTAAGGTTTTTTTTTTTTTATATAGCATTAACAGTGCCAACGATGTACGTGGTAGAGCCATGCTACAGCTATATCGTGGTTGTAGCATGAATGGGTTGGCTCGTCTGGGGAAAGCACTCACAAAATACCAGCGTAAAATAGCAGCTTAATGTTGCTGGGTTTCGTATGGTGAGAGTAGAGAACCGGAGACCATTTTTACTGGAAACCAGGCATTCTATCTTAGTCCTCAGGGATGACAACGCATCTGCATTTTGATTCTTAATTGAGGATAAATGTAGATGTCTATGGGCTACAGCATCCAATTACCATCAGGTGGACTGTGTGCTCGTTTGTTACCCTTATTCTAATTAAAATTGTTTAGTGACAAATAAAATATACAAGCCGACAAAGACAATTAGACGAATAGCCTGTAACTCTGGTATCATCTATCTATCTATATCATGTGATATCACGTTTATAAATAGTTCTATTCGGTTAGGTCATCTCATCGTTGTTAAAAATGTTTAAAGTTTATTCAAAATCATTACACTATGCTCGGGAGATGTTATTCTCGGTTAAAGCTCATTATACTAATAAATAAAGTAGATGTAGCTTTCGGTGTTCATCGAAAGTTTAAAAAAGAATTTTTTATTTTTTATTAAAACCATTTCTGACAAAAAGTGATGTGGAAGAAATTCGCTGGCAATTATTCTCTTTTATTCATACATTCATAGATCCGAAATCCTTAATTTGACACTAACTAATAAAAATAAGACGATGTAGTTCACACTAGGACAAATAAACATTTAGTTTGCTCTGAATTGTCTATGCTTTTCACTTTTATTATCAATCCTATATATAGCGGATGTTTGACCTAATTGCTAAATAACTTAATATGATTTTATATTTTTCTAATTTAAACTGCAATATTAAAATTTATTTTCATATAACAATTACTTTCATTACTTTATACTTTAAAAATCAGTATTATGTATTAGTTACAACAAATGTCCAACCGAAGCTTCCGCTTCGGCTTCATCCACCTTCAGGGAAAAAACTCTTCATCATCTTCGGCTTCAGTCAAAATGGGCAGAAGTTTTGGCCGAAGCCGAAGGTTTCTAGTTAGCACAAAAATTGAAGGAACTGTTATGACGTGGCGACGCATCATGTCTAGATCAACGTCTAGAGATGATTAAAATTACCTTTTTCTACCGACTTCAAAAAGGAGGAAGTTTTCAATTCGACTGTATTGTTTTAATGTGTGTTACGTCATAACTTTTTTCTAGCTAACCGATTTCGATGATTCTTTTTTTTTTTTGAAAGCTGGTGCTTCTCATGTGGTTCTATATAAATTATATCAAGGTCCCACCAATAGTTTTTTAGTTATTTTTAATAATTTTTGTCTTCTTAATAATTGAAGTCGGTTGTACAAAATTTTACATTTTAAATTATATATTATGCTGTCAATATAAATATTTAATTTAAAAGTTTAAAAATCATTTATATTATTAATTTTAGCCAATTTTGAACTTACTTTCTAAGGGTTTTAAGTCTTCGGCATCTGCCAGAAATCAATCTTCGGTCGGACATTAGATACAATGTAATATACAGACTCAGTTGTTAGTCACAGACGTAATATAGATAAAATAAAAACTATCAGAATAAAATCAAAAGGAAAATCTTCAAATATTTTACTTTTGTGTAAAAATATAAGTTGTAAGCATTTATTCTTACGACCCAGTATCGATTGGGTTTTGGAACACACTTTAACACTTATTTAACTGACCATTATTAATGTAGATTCCTAAAGATGAAAAACCGCTTCGTCGTCTGTGGAAAGTACAAAAGACTAAGATAGAAAAAAATGCTTTAAATAAAAATTATTTTTAAGATAAATTGTACTGAATTAGATTTTCAATTGAAAATTTGAAAAAAAATATATTAAGAGAAATAGGAGTGAAATTCATATAATTAAACTTTAAAAAAAAAAGTCATATAATTAAACTTTTAGAAAAGTAAAAATCGACTTCAAAAAGTAAAAAAAATAAATAATTTTACATAATTTATTAGATTCTGAAGTCGGTGTATTGTAGAAATCTCCGACTTCAGAATTCATTAAATTATGCGAAAATTATTTTATTGTTTTTAGTTTTTTTAAGTCCGTTTCACTTTATATCAGTCTATTTATTTTAATAGCCGTTCCATATTAAGGCTGAGATATTACCAATTCAAAATAGAATCGCTACGCTAGTTCAAAAAGTATATTTTTGACATGACATGACGAGATTTATACCAAAATGTGCTGTAGATCCTAAAAAAAAAAGTTGAACATAACTACAATCCATCAGTTTAGAAGAGATATATCAAACGCGGACTTACCGTTCATAATGGTAAGAACGAGACAGAGTGCGTCTTTCGTCTCGTACGCGTACGCGAGGTTCACGACGAACCGCGAGTTGATCCGCTGCAGTATCTGCTTCTCGATCAGAACCATCGCCTCTCCCTTGCGCTTCTTTATACGTTTCTTTTCCAGTTTCTTGCACGCGTACATTTTACCTGTCGCCCGAACCTGAAATACATAATAACTGAAATTAAATATTACACTTTTACATTTACATTTGGACGTGGTTATGAAAAAAGGATCCAACCCTAAAGAAGAAAGCTAATTTGAGGTTATGAAATTTGAAGTTATGAAATTTAAAGAATGGATCTGTATGGTTTGTGTGTGTTTGTAATTTTTCTTCGTATTTGTGTTACTTTTACTTTCGCTAAAATTGTTGCATCACATAATAGTATAGACCACAAACATTATTTTTAAACTGAATATTTTTGACACAAATTACATTAGATCCTTTTTGCGTAACTATGCCCATTTATGAAGAATTTTCTGATATAGCAAATGGAAGAATATTAGGTTGTTTTAAAGTCTTTAATAAAAAACATTTCGTAATTTTTTTGTTTTAAATATAAATGTTAATTTTTTTTAATCACCGTAGAAAATTAGAATGCTAAAAAATTCATATCTTATAAAACTTTTAATTTTAATTAAAATTGAAAAAATCTTATAAAATATAATTATTAATAATCAGTGTTGCCACCTCTTACATTAATTACATATGGGCGCAAATCGCCATCTATCGGCAATAATTAGCAAATATGGATATATGGGCGCAAACCACCATCTATCGGCAATAATTGGCAAATATTGATATTTATGTTTTAGTTAATCGTTTAAGTGAATATATTAGTATAGAAATATCTCAAATATATAAGATTTAAATTTAAATTAGTTATTTATAAGCATAAAATTGTTACTTATTAAGGTCTGATATTTAGTAGACAATGTTTTGACTGTTTGAAGATTTTGAAGACGTTTGATGCTTCATTTATTGTTAAAATACTAATTTAACTGTGTAAATGTTCAAATTAATATCTATTAGAATTAATATCATTATTTTGTATCAAATTTTATTATTTTATGCAATGAGTCTTGTTTAATTTCACTTGAATCTTGCTTGCAGCGCCACCTCTTAACAGTATTTTGACTATGAAAAACTAATGTCTATTCAAATTAAATGATCAAATATTTATATAATATAAATCATTTGTAGTTATTTAAATTCATTAAAATATTTATTATGAATAATGAGCTCTATTTTAAAAATTATTTTGTAGTACTTAATTTTATTTGTTTAATTTAAAAGAAGTTGTATTTGCTATATCCATGTTTATAAGGAAACTATTGGAAACTATAAAGGCGGTTGATTTATGTAAAGACTTCTGTTCTATACCAGCAATTGTGCGAAAATAAACTACTTAATATTTGGCGTGCTATTTCATTGCGATGGACTCTGAGCGTGAAAACCCTGGCGTATCGCCGACATACACATCGACATCGATTGTTCATACTTAAAATTAAATTGCCACTGTATTGCTGCCGTATGAGGTCCCATGCTCTTTGCAAGTATTCGTAAAGTTGTTGTTCTGTCGTCAAAGAACAATGGCAGACTTTCATACATAAAATTAGTTGTGAAGGAATGGTAGCGTCCCTTAATAACTCTGTCGAAGAATTTGGTCCTGAGAAGGCGTCAAAAAAAAGATATTTAGATTTGAACATTTTTAGGTTATGTCTTATATCACTTGGAAAAAGTCATGCGTCAGGTGATTGTTTGATGTACCTACATAACGGAGAGTTTTTAGATTATAGTATCTCTATTATATATTTGCATACTATAAATGTATATTTCTGGCATGGCTCCAGGGCCTTTGTGTCATACAGCGACCTTCTCAGAAGGGCTAGAACCCAGAGCCGTAAAGCCAGTAAAAAACAGTGCCATTTTGTTTTAGCTAATGTTGCCATAACATTAAATGGAATTGTTACATAGTACTATGATTGAGATAATGTATTATTGTGGGAAGTTCTATGTAAGAGACTTATTTTCAACCATATCACATTTATTTTTATTATTACTGATAATATAGTTATTACTAATAATAAATTAATATAAAAATATTTTGTGTTTGTGTGTTGTGTTGGTAGTCTTATAAAGTGTATACGAAAATAGTATGAATATAGTAAACGGCAACACTTGAATAGAGTTAAATGATATAAGTCATTTGATATTCCCCAAAATGTTTGTTTTTCCTGTGGCTTTAATTAAAATACATTTTTATTTGAAAAATAATAGAAAAATAATAAAACTCGTTTTATATATAACTTATTTCTAGACGCAATAATTTTTGTCAACTATTTTTCTGCCATTGTTCTTTGCCGGGAAATCTCTCAAAGCTTTTCGTTGTAACATGTCCCAGGCATGCTCGATAGGATTTAAATCGGGCGACTGTGCAGACCAATCTAAAATTTGAATATCGTGGTCTCGGAGTGCCGTCGACACCAGCCGCGCCGTATGCAAAGGAGCATTATCTTACATGAGTAGAAATTAATGGCCCATTTGGATTCTGTGTGGGACAATAACAGGCTCTACTACCTCCTCGTGGTATTTTTGTGCAGTCGTGCTGCCTTGGATCCAGGCGAGCTGGGTTCGTCAGCCAAAAGGAATTCCTGCCCACACCATGACTGTACCGCCTTTGTATGAGTGGACCTCCTGAGGGTGCCGTAGACGACTAACTTTCCCTGGAGTTCTCCAAACGCGTGTTATTCGTGAATCCTGATAAAACTCAAACCGGGACTGGGTTTGGGTTTCAGACGATGTGAACAGCACCAAAGATCATTATTCGTCACTCCCATAGTAAATGCTCCCGAGCCCAAGAAAGCCACCGACCACGATTGCCATGTCACGATGCTGGAACACGTAGCGGTCTTCGATCATGAAGACCAACTTCATGCAACCTCCTTCGTACTGTTTGGTCGCTTACCAGCAGCCGGTGGTCCTCCTGAAGCCTTTGTAGTAGTGGCATCACTGTGATATTGGGTTGTCTTCTGGCGGTTATTTAGAGAAATCGATCATGTTTCTGCGTAGTAAGCATGATATCTACCAGTGTACTGTTGATCCACATCCCCAGTACTGCGATAACATGACCACAACCTTAATATCATGTTTTGGCTGGTGTGTAGGGCCTCAGCAGCGACGCGTTGAATAGCACCATTTTATAACATGCCCACGGCTTGTAACATTTTATGTCGACTCAAATGGCTATTCATAACAATTTTGTCGCTGCATTTTTTTATTCTTTTTTTATTTACATTATTAAATTTTAAAAATAGAATAAAAGAGGTTTCAATCTGTATATTAAACTTTTTATGAAAACTAAAAAGATTTTAAACTATAAAGTCGTAAATAATTTAGGATTAAGGTATCCCTAGATTCTGTTGATGTGTGTATGTATTTTCCGATTTCCAATTGCCATGTTTTAGGAAACGGGGGAAGAAACTTTGCAAGCATCCTCTTTTTGTGATTTATTTAACGGAACCAATCCAATTATATAGTTTTTTTTAAAATAAAAAGGATTGGACTTGTCGGTAACTGCACCATAAATGTCAGCGTTGTGTGTGCCCGTGGGTACCACCATCGAGTGGCCGTGTTAATAAAATAATAAGGCAATGTTAAGTGTACACCACACATTAGTCCACTTGTTGTAATGCGAGGTGTATAATTACAGGTTAAACAGTAAAAACTCCATCCAAGTCCTTATAGTTCACAAAGCATCTGTATAATTGTCTGCCGACTTCCAAAAAGGAGACGGTACTCAATTCGACTGTATGTTTTTTTATGTGTCTTACCTCATAACTTTTTACTGGGTGAACCGATTTCGATGATTGATCTTTTTTTATTTGAAAGATGGTACTTCTCGTGTGGTCCCATATGAATTTGATCAAGTTCAGACCAATAGTTTTTGAGTTATTCTTAATAACTTATATTGAAGTCGGCTGTAATTGTTTCTCAATTTTAAATTATTTAGAATCAAAGTTGCTAAAAATTGACTAACTAAGATCCGCGTAATAAAATAAATTGATGTGTCTCACCTGGTTTGAGGAGCACGTCCCGCCCTCCCCCCTCCAAGCTCCACTATTCTTCCCAACACCCCTTCATTAGGAAAGACACACTGCCGTCGATAATACGACACGTGTTTCGCCTCTAAACGAGTCATCCACCGGTGGATGCTGCAGGGTAAGTGCTAAGTTTGTTTGTTAGATAAGTTTGACTTGATTTCATTACGCGGATCTTAGATTTCCGCAAAGTAACACTTTTCTATTAATTGTTTACAATTTGCTAAGAGATTGTTCGTCACTGTTGTAACGTAACTCATGTGTGTGTGTGTGTATATATGTAAACGTGTTTGAATATGTGAGTGAATTCAGAAGTTACCTGACAAGCGCAGACCTCTCCGAAGCCGCCCTTCCCGAGCACTCGGTACATACGGAAGGTGTGCTGCGTGACCGGCTGCGCTTCCAGCCACTTCCACTGCAGGTAGCGGTGGAAGTACATCGAGCGTTCGAACTCCGCGAACGGAGTGCCCGCGAGAAAGTTTTTCACGCAGCGCACGCATTCGCCGAAGATTTCCTTCGCGCCGCCTGGAAATTAAAGTAATCACCTTTTTTAACCGATTTCAATAAGAAGGTTCTCAATTAGAGTGTATTTTTTTAAAAAGAAAACTTCTTTAGTATCGTTGTGATTTGAAATTCAATGAAACGAGAAAGCGACACTAAAAAGAAACAAACATATACAGAATGTGGCCTGCGAGAGAATGAGATAGAATACATTATACAGTGTTTCCTATTATCGCGGTCTCCTTTCCTGGAGGTTTCACTTCCGCCGCATGTGAACTGCATACATGTTTGTTTTTGTATGATGTTAGGCGATATCTTTGCAGATTGTGAACAGTTTTTTTTTTAAATCAAGTGGCCAACGAGCTTTTTTTATATGTAGGATAGGGTGACAAACGAGCACACAGTCCACCTGATGGTAAGTGGTTGCTGTGACCCATAGACATTTACATATATCCTCAATAAAGAATCAAAATATATGTATATATTTAGTGTCAGTCATAATTTACATACTTATGATAAAGATAAGTTATATTTGTTACCTAATTCTTCACTGATACTCATAAGTGCCACTAATGTGATATGGAAGAGTGGCTCCTTCTGACACAGGTGCAAATGCACTTAAAAGAATAAGTCAACCTATATTCTAGATTTAAGACAAACCTTGTTAAAGAAATAAACTTTTTTTTTAAATGCAGATGCGTTGTCACCCGTGAGGACTAAGATGTAATACCTCATTTCCAGTAAAAAGGGTCTCCAGTTCTCTACACTCACCATACGAAACACAGCAGTGTTAAGCTGCTATTTTACGCTGGTATTCTGTGAGAGCGTGGTCCTTCCCCGGTCGAGCCGGCCCATTCATGCTACAACTATACTGCTAATATAGCTGCAGTATGGCTCTACCACGTATTGACTAGCAGCAGACAGAGCTAGCAGTCCACTTGATGGTAAGCGGCTACTGTAGCCAACTGCAAACAAAGAAGGCTACAGATGCGTACCTCTGAGGAACTCATCACAGCCTGGAATTATACTGGCTCTGTATACTCCTCAGACAGAAACACAACACTTCAAGCAGTGCTGTGTTTTCTTCCTCGCACAACTTTCCTGTGGAATCGATTACCACCGGCGATTTTTCCGGACCGATACGACCTTCAAGAAAAGAGCCTACTCCTTTTTAAAAGGCCGGCAACGCATCTGCAACTCCTCTGATGTCGCAGTTGTTCACGGGCGACGGTAGTCACTTACCATCAGGTGAGCCGCATGCTCGTTTGCCCCCTCTCCTATAAAAAAATGTTTGGCGACAGAAATACTTAAGTGAGTGGCACCTATATATACAGTGAGTGAAGCAGCAGCTGGTGAGTAGCCTTTGTTTTATTATTAAAATAAGAAGAACCTCGAGCTTTTCTGCATAGAAGTCAGTCTGGATTTGTACCACCCATAGTTCATAGCAGCATGTCACAAATTCAGTGCTCCCCCAAGAAATGCCACGAAATACGATCCCGACCCACCTGCATCCATCGACTTCCTGTCTTTCTAGTCGTCACATCATCTGGTAAAGGTCCCTTCTACACTTAACTCACCAGTACGAGGCTACCACTTGAGAATTTTTATTTGCTATCGGCTATACGTCCTAGTCCGGTATACATAGACGGCAAAAAGTCCCGCTGGGTTTCTTGCTGGTTCTTCCCAGGACAGAGGTTTTTTTTCGAACCAGTGGTAAAGTAAAAAATGGCTTTCAATAAGAATTACACATGTGATCTATATTGAATAAAAAACTATTCTATTCTATTGCCACTCCGTTGGGCTACTTTACTGTACTTACCCTCAAGGAGCCCGCTCGCATCGTCGACCACCGAATCGGTTACCACATCGGTGACGGCCTCACCGTCCTCCGTCTTCAGGTACCTCCCGAACACCTCAGCGGCGAGGGCGACCCGCGTCTCGTCCACCCCCACTTCGTACCTATCCACCTGGGAACAAGCGAGCTTTTGCCGGTTTATGATCTGGCTCTAAAATAGCCAAGCGAAAAATTAAACCTATGGGCACGCATTCCGTTTCAGCCTAGCAAAAGTCCACTGCTGAACATAGACCTCCACCGTATATTGACTTATTGGCAACGCTCTTGCAGTTGCAGTTGCCATGGGGGTCAATACTTATCATCAGGTGAACCGCATGCTAGTTTGAACCTTCTTCTATATAAAAAAATAACTTATAGGCGAGTTGGAAACCGCAGTTTTTTTATTTGTTTTTAGGTTTCTGCTGCCCATCTCCTTGTTCGTTTGCCTTTGTCTTTTTATTGTCTACTGACACCCATGGGATGATATGGGGTACTGGATATTCTTACACCGCCACTACACGGTTAATATCCATCACTATACGGACAACAGGCACGCAAGCACACAAGCATACACACAAACACGCAAAAACGCACACGCTTATACGCTTAGTCGGTAATTTTATTCGAGTGGCTAGCCTTAAACGTTGTTGGTACTTATAGCCCTGAGAATTTTACAATGCACCAGCGTATAATAGCACAATGGTTCTGAATCGTATGGCGAGTGATGAGAATCGGAGAACTTTTTATTTTATATTGTCCCGTGGGTGTCGTAAGTATCTTACGTAAGTAGTGGAATGCCCCTCTAAAGGTATTCCATCTTAATTCTCACGGGTGACGACGCATCTACATTTTAATTCTTTATTGAGGATAGATGTAAATGTCTATGGGTCACAGCAACCACTTACCATCAGGTAGACTGTGTGCTCGTTTGTCACCCATTCCTATCACAAAAAAATCTTCCTGATAACAACATAAAATAATATAAAACTATGGTTCCCTATCCTCCTGCCAAGTGTGACAACTATGGCATACTATATCCCCAATGGGGAGGCTGGAGGAGGCCAATGCACAGCAGAGAACTTTTGATATCCTGTAAAGAATGAATGAAGAACGAATTTTATAGGTAACAAAGGGCGGACTCGAATTCTGTGCCATTCAACGCATTGCAATGTGAAAAGCAGTGGCGGGCGTCTTAATTAAATTATACTAATCACACAGGTCGTGTTCTGACGGGTGTAAGATTATACCGTACCCCTTAACAGCCCATGGATGTCGAAAGAGGCGACAGATGGAAACAAACCAGGTGATGGACAGCAGTCTCCCTAATAACAACTAAAAAATAAAAAAACTGTAATGGCCATGCCACCTACCAAGCGTGGCAACAAATATCCCCTGTGAGGCAAATGAGGGAGTTCTATGTTCAGCAGTGGACTTTTGATAGGCTGTAAAGGTAACAGTAATCACTAATCACACAGGCAATTGGAGTTTTGGCGGGAACTTGACCGGCGGCGGATTGATACGCCTCTTTTATTGTTTAAACAATTATTTGAAATGGATTTTGATATGTATAATTTAAAATAAAAAATTTTGTACAGCCGACCTCAATATAAGTTATTAAGAATAACTCAAAAACTATTGGTCTGACCTTGATCAAATTCATATGGGACCACACGAGAAGTATCAGCTTTCATATAAAAAAAGAACCATCGAAATCGGTTCACCCAGTAAAAGTTATGACGTAACACACATAAAAAAAGATACAGTCGAATTCAGTACCGTCTCCTTTTTGAAAGTCGGCAGAAAAGTGGTGCTATTTTGAGTATTAAATGTCTGCGCATGTGAACCATTAGTGGAAACGGTGAAACAAGTGCTCCAATGGTGATGTGAAACTTGGAGATAAGGTATGCTTAGGCGCCAAATATTCTGCTGGCTCAAGTTCCCTTTAAATCTCCCAATGGCTCCTCAATATGACACATCAACATATTATAAAGCAGTGTAAAAGCTTAAAGAACAAGAATCCAAGCCAAAAATGTTAATAAAAAAATCACACAGGCAATTAAAATATCCAGTAAAAGCGTAATAACCAAAGTGAGGCGAAGCCAAGAAGCGAAGATCTACACATACCGCATCGAGGAAGCTGTTGTACTTGTGATACTCAGGGCGGTTGCGCTCGCAGAACTGCCGGAACAGCAGCTTGCCGATGGGCTGTTGGTCCACCACATAGTCGTAGCCTACATCTGTAACAATCAACACACCACAATTAGCATGATGGGATTATTATAGTTACGTTATTATATTCCTGAACCGGATGTCTTAATTTGTTAATTTGTTTATTTAAAATGAATGAGAGTAGTTCGAATATTAATTATTTGGTGGCTTAGGTGGGTCTGTCACAAGAGTTGTAACCAGTGTTGCCATTGATGACAAATTGATCTCAGTCTTGGTCTTTCACTGCCGACCCAACTGTTTGTCTGTCACAGAGGTTTTCCTCTGAGGGTGTTTTACGTAGATGATTAAAATTTGGCTAGTTATTGGCGGGTAAGGTTAAAAAATATTTTTTTTAGTAAAAGTTAAAACCAACTTTAAAGAATTAATAATAATAACATTATTTCCACGTTCTGAAGCCGGCGCTAAAACATAGTATCGAAATTAAAGCCCTCGGCCTTCAGAATCTAATTGTGCGGATGATGCGGAACCTTTTTTGAGCTTTTTTAGTTAAATTATGGCTTTTACTTTTAATTAAGTTTTTAACCTTTTAAGTGGACTTAGGAATATCTTACGCTCAAATTAACAACTAGAATATCCTCAAGTATATATTTTTTTTTAATTTAAATTTAAATGGAACTATCCTTGGGCTATAATCTATTTAATAAACCACTCTCTCACAGAATACCAGCGTAAAATAGCAGCTTAATGCTGCTGTATTTCGTATGGTGAGTGTAGAGAACCGTTATTACTGTAAACGAGGCATTCCACCCTCGTCCTCGGGAGTGACAACGCATCTGCATTATGATTCTTATTTGAGGATAAATGTAGATGTCTATGGGCTACAGCTATCAGGTGGATTGTGTGCTCGTTTGTCACACTTATTCTATAATAAAAATATATCAATCTGCTTTTATTTTATATTTTACATAAGAAGGTTAAATAATAGTACACTTTAGCAGCACCGGCGGTAAAACGTTATAAGAATACGTGACAATTTTGATTTTTAATAGCGAACTACATTTATCCACTAAGTCGATACAGAAGTTTCACTTCAAAAAGAATAATTAAAATCGTTTCACAACTGCGAAAATATTGCGTAAAATACACACAAAATACCGTCGAATTGAGTGTACTACTATCCTATTGATCGAAATCTGTATCAATTTGTCATTACCTTATCGAACTGCAATAACACATTTTGAGATTTATTCTCTTTACACTAAAAGTAATGAGCACGTCATTAATGCTTCTTCTTCCGAGTTTTATGCCACATACATCTATGTACAACTACAGTACAAGCAAGTAGCTTAGTGGATAAGAATCACTTCGAGTATATTAAAATTTCAATAGTGCGAACAAACTGCGCTCGAGCTGCGTTAATTACCATACTGACAATTGATTCGCTGATCTACCGTTATTTAAGCTTCTGATAGATGGCAGTAATTACCATCTCGTTTACCACAGACATAAAATCCCCTGGTGTGTCAGATTTACCCTTTGCGGGCAGCAAAGCTATTGTCGCGCTCCCGCCGCGGACAAAGAATTTTTTAAATTAATTTACTGTTGGTTACATAACCTGTTCATATTAATGAAAAGGCTTGTTGATACACTAATCCAAATAACAAATAATTTTTAATCTGTTGAAAAACTTGAAGATATTGTTTAATTTTTAATCTGTTGACAAATTTGAAGATATAGTTAGACGAATCGTCGCCGCCGTAGACCCATGCTGTCTAATACGCACAAAGGTAATGACGGCCAAACGGAAATATCTAAAACTTTAACGGGGTACTGTCTATGCTTTTTTATATAGAATAAGGGTGACAAACGAGCACGCGATCTATCTAATGCTAAGTCGATGCTATGGTCCATAGACATCTACATCCATCCTCGATTAAGAATCAAAAAGCTGTTATCATTCCTGAGTACTAAGATGGAATGCGTCGTATCCAGTAAAAACGGTCTCCGGTTCTCTGCACTCACCATATGAAACACAGCATCATTAAGCTGCTATTTTACGCTGGTATTCTGTGTGAGCGTGGTACCAACCAGGTCGAACCGACCCATTCGTGCTACAACCATAATATAGCTGCAGCATGAGTCTACCACGTCTAAGTTGCGATACGACAGCTTCCGCGCTCGTCAATTCGTCTGCCAAACGTGACTATCATTTCAAAGAAAGTAGTAAATAAGCAAGATGAATTTACTGAAACCATTATAATTAACTGAAAACTGAAAATATTAAGGCGGTGGTTAGGCGTCGCCTACATTCCACATTTAAGGTGCCGTGCACAAGGATAAATCTTCTCAGATTTGCACCTATGTTACGTGCTTTAAAATTATTGAATACTAGCTGTTCCCCGCGACTTCGTTCGCGTGTTAGGGTTTTTATGTTTCTGCGCGGAACCCTGATTCTTTTTCTAAAATAAAAGTAGCCTATGTTACTCCTTATGAAATCAGCTATCTGCCAGTGAAAGTCCCGTCAAAATCGGTCTAGCCGTTTCGGAGATTACCCGGAACAAACAGACAGACAGACAGACAGACAGACAGACAAAAATTTTAAAAATTGTATTTTAGTTATAGGTATCGTATTTATTTTCATATGCATTTAGTAAAAAACTGTAATTTTGACATTACAAACAGACACTTCAATTTTATTTATTTGTATAGATTAAACGGACATCTTCCACTGTAGCCTGGCCGAGTTTAATTATAATAATATATATTTTTGTAGGTCAGTAATTATATCAGTTTTTATTTCATTTTGTGTAGCATTGTCATGGTCTTGAACTGTTATGGTGCTGTTACTGTTATGGAAATAAATAAATAAATAATTAAATTATTGCATCATTACCATCCATTTACACGTGGTAGAGCCATGCTGCAGCTATATTAATAGTATAGTTAGACCACGCTCTCACAGAATACCAGCGTAAAATAGCAGTTTAACACTGCTGTGTTTCGTATGGTGAGTGTAGAGAACCGGAGACCCATTTGACTGAAAAAGAAGCATTCTATCTTAGTCCTCACGGCTGACAACGCATCTGCATTTTAATTCGCAAACGAAGATAGATGTAGATGTCTATTGGCCACAGCAACCACTTACCAGCAGGTTCACTGTGTTTCGTTTGTCACCCTTATTCTATAAAAAACAAAATTACTTACACACGTATACAATACAATCACGCAATAATCAGTGCGTAGAATTCGATGAGTAACCTCCAGATAATTCTACTGACATGCAACTAATTTGTAATTATAACACTGATAATTAGGAAGTGGTATCTTGGTCATTCGCGATAACTAATCATACGGGCTACACGGGTTAGAGACGTTTTGTTTAGAACACAGGCTTTGTCACAGTTTTGGGAGGGCTATGGAGCAAGTACTTTGCAATTAAAGATTTCATAGGTGAAGTGTGGCCTCCCGAAAGGATTCCCGCTTTGTCGTAGCAGGGGCTTTTAGTAGTCTTAGTGTCGTGGCTGGCCCAGGGTGGCCGCTCCAAATGCGAATCCAAATGTGCCGACTTACGAAATCCGAAAAAACCTAATCCGTTCTGGGCCGTGGCGGGAGTGGTGCCATCTCACCTTTCGCGCTGCAGCCCGAGCCGCGAGGAAACAGGTGTATGGAAGGCTATGAGGCACTCGCCCTATCCTCCAAGAATTAGGGCTTCATTGCACTACCGCACTGTCGGTGGGGGGGGGGGGGGGGAAGAAGTGGTGGTATTGCCAGGCATTGGTTGTTGCAACTGTTGTTGCGAGACGACCCATTCGTGCTACAACTATACTACTAATAATATAGCTGAAGCATGGCTCTACCACGTATACGATTCCTCGCCGTGCACAAGAACTCTGCCATCCGTAGACTTCAACTTGGCGAATTTCGCGTCGAGACTTAGGCCTACACCTGTACAAGATCCAACTGACCCAGGACTCAAAGTTCATGTCCACAGACAACGCCGTTTGTTCGCTGACTGGGCTTCGAATCGTTTGGAAGAGGACCCCAATTTTGAACCAAAAATCATTTTTAGCGACGAGGCGCATTTTTAGATAAATTTTTAGTTGTGTTAATAAGCAGAATTGAAGAAACCGTATTTGGGACGACACCAACCTACAGGAGATTCAGGTGACAATGCATTCTTAAAAAGTTACTGTTTCTTGTGGATTTTGAGGCGGCGGCGTCATTGGTTCGTACTTTTTCGAAAACGAGTCAACGGCGAGCGCTATAGAACGATGATAACCAATTTCTTATGGCCCAAATTGAACCGTATGGACCTAGACGACATGTAGTTCCAGCAGGACGGCGCTACGTGCCACACAGCGGACGCCACCATTGACATTCTCCATGAGCGATTTGAAGGTAAGCTTATCTCTCGCAGGGGTGATGTGAATTGGTCACCAAGCTGCGATTTGACCCAGCTAGACTTTTTATTGTGGGGTTTCTTGAAGTTGCAGGTCATAACAGAACATAACACAGGCCATAGCTCAAATTCAGCCGGATCTATGCAGAAGAAACATTGAAAATTGGACCACTCGGATCTGTGCCACTGTAAGAAGTCAAGGCGAGCATTTGAACGATGCCATATTCCACACTTAATGGCACATGTGAGCCTTTCAAATAAAAAAAAAAGAATTTTGTTAATACCTCATACACAGCTCGTTTTATTTCATTTCAACATCTACCCGCGTTTATTGAAAAACCCTTTAGGTTATTAACTGTACACATTACTTTGTATTACAAAAACACATTTAAATACTTATGTAAATTAGTTATTGTTTCACATCAACGTCGCTTTGTGTAATTAAAATACATATTACAACATAAAGTACAGCGGTATGAAGCGATTATAATAGCGTTGGGTATAATTGGCAAGGGACTAGCGCCGTTAGCACGAGTTAATTAACAAATGACATTGGCAATATTTATTTGTTTTAATATTACATTTGGAGAAGCCGTAAGCCCCTGCTCATATTTCTTCCCTAGCGTTTCATAAGACTCAATTAAGGAAAATAAGCAAAGAGATCATTTC